AAGCAAATATATATTGCACTGTTTGAAGTCGAACTAATATCGTTGTCACTGAACTCAAGTTTAACAACCGCTTTCGTGGCCAAGCCATGAATTAATAATTTTTATTAAACAGAAAACAAAATCATAATAACAGCTGAAGAGAAAAATTATTGTTTAATTAATTCTTTAATTACATGTAGCTTGTCTGGCTTTACAACGGTGATCTAGATAGTGACAACCAATTAGCCGCTTCACTGACCACATGGACCTGTGGCAGTATATCGAGATAATTGACACTTTGAAATGGACGTTTGTTGTGAAAATAGGGTGGCGGATGGCGTTATGCAAATTTGGCGTTATAAAGAGAATTTTATATGGCAGGAAAAACGTTCTTGAAAAATCATGGCGTTATTGCGAGAATGGCGATGAATCGAATGGCGATAATTCGAGAACTGACTGTACTTTTGAAGGGAAGCATTCTGCATGCAATTAATTTCTAGTATTAGCTAAATAAGGAAATTATATATGCAGCTAAGACCACAGATTATATCTACTATCTACAATACCCTCTATATCATTTTTGACATGAAACACTATAGGATAGAATACAACAGATACAGGCATGATACCATTGGATTAACACACAATATGATAGGATAAATGGTCTTCACCATAAATGCAAAACACAATGAATGCAAAACTGGTTAGGGTACACAATTGGTAATAACATGTCAATTTAGAGACAATAATGTAAAAAAACAAAATATTACGAACATGAAGTTACTTTTTAAATTCATTAATTTCTTTTGTTAAAATAAATCCATGTCATTCTTATCTATTCATTCACCGAGACTTGCATCACCAATTGGTAGTACATGTACTATTATTTGTAAACATTAGACTAAGGTCAGATGACACATTCCTCGAAAATATATAATTTTTCCCAAGATTTTGTCATTGAAGTATAGCTGCTGCTACTTAAGTTTCCTCACCAAAAATTAAGGTACTTTACCAGGCATTTTGGCAAGTACCAGAGGGTGATATTTCTTTTATACTTACAGATAATCTTTTGAATTGTCACTGTCACAATTTTTGGTGTACTTATTTTTCAAAACATATTGAAAACAATTTAGAAATCACAAGAGAATGACAATTATGAATAATTTTTTATATAATACTAATGTATACAAAACATATATTTAAGGAATGTGTTGTCTGACCTTAAATCCATAAAAGTTTGATGGCATTTTCTCTTTATGGTAAAAATATACAAGAATTAATTAATTAATGAATGTTTAGCAAACATGATAGTATAATTTTTTTCGATGCTTTGGAAAATAAGAATAAATTGAATTCATAAATTTTCATACACAAATCCTTATTTTAAAAAAATCAAAACAGTGTTTGAAAAGGCAAGAAATTTAAAACTGTAAAGCATGAAGGAATTGGAGGGAAGGCTGGGAGGTGGCCCCCCCCCCCCAATAATTTTACCAATATATATATATATATACTATGCAATAGAAAACACCGCTACTTTACAGTTAACAGTTGTGTCCCCTTAATAATAATAATGACTTCTTTTTTGCCTGTAAAGAATTTTTTTTCTTAGCCCCCCTGCCCCCAAACTGAAATTGCTTCCTCATGGCCTGAGATTGTCTTTTAGTCATTATAAGATAAAACTGTAGCAGGTCCATGTGATTCACCTAGTATAAATGGTAAGAGATTATCATAAAGAAAACTATAATTCATTGTGGATGATTTTTTTTTATTAGTTAATTTTTTTTTCTTCTTTTCCATTTTAGACAAGTGCTATCATGTAACATGTAAAATTAACATAAAATTCATAGTTGTTCACTTATTTGAACTGATCAAAAGTAAACATTTTCACAGCTTTTTCTGTGAAATTTTATATCATAATTCCAAATGACTTGAAGAAGACCTCTTAATTTGATTTTTTAACTCAAAAGAAAAAGGTGAAAAATCTATATCTCATATAAAATGGTTTCCTGGTGAGAACTCTAGTTCTCTTTAAGATTTTGCAATGAAATATTTATATCTAATCAATGTGACATAAAAAAAGGACTCCTATTGAATTTCGAGGTCGAAAGGTCAAAGACCAAGGTCATCAGTTTAAATACTGCCTTAGTGGTTCTCTTGAGAAGGTTTTTTTAAAAGGTGATACCAAATTTTCAGTATTTCATAATTAGACCCCCTTGCAAGTGGGTGTGGCCTTTGGTTCTGTAAATCAGACAAGCTAAAAATTACCCCACTGTCCCTTTACAAAAGTACATAAAAATGCACCTTTCATCGAAAGCTGTCTTTAAATCTGAAAAAAAGAATTTAAATTCAGAAAATAACCATTCTCTGCAGAACAAGTTCTATCAACCAAATTGAAGAGGTTTGGATAAATCAACTTTTGGAGACTGAAAATAAATATATGTGATTATTCGTTTCCTCTATTTCAACAAAATAATAACTGCAGGATGAACAGTTAGCTTCAAGAGTATATACTCTACATATACATTCACATTCATTCATATCATACAACACTGGGGTTTGAGACATTTAAAGAACAGCTAGCCTGGCTTGTTGCCTTATATGAATTGAAATTACTTTCACAAAACAAAAATGCTAATTTTTCCTATAAACCATGTTTTACTCTGCATGAATAGGATCAGATGTTTGATTTGTTCCCTTGGATGGGAAAACATTCATAAAGCAATTCATATTTATTCTTGTATAACTTGCACAATTCACATTGAAATTTTTCTGACTGACTGCTTTTGAACAGGATAGTTGTCCTTGACCTTTCACAAGCTAGCTGTTCTTGACCTCTACCCTTGGACAACTTCAACTGAGCTTTAAGGTGACTTCACCTTTTTTTGGTGAAGCAGACTGAGTTTCTTCTGCTCGTGAGTCAGAGCTGGACTGGTCATCGTCTGCAGCATTAATTCACATTTAAGCACAAAAAATAAGCATGCTCTCCTTGAGTATTACACTGATATCAATGTGAAGATGAAATGTCTGTATACTTACTAATTAAAATAAGGCAAAATTATATCTAGCATTTTTTTCAAAAGCAATAACAAATCCACATGAAGAAACCATGCCTTTGGTTATACTTCTGCTATTTATGGAGATTTCAGCCATAACTTTAAAGTTTTCAAATCATCAAATTAGATGACAATTTTTAGTGTTATTTTATTCATCTTTTCTTATTTTATTCCATTTCAAATTCTCAGGTTGAACACTGAACTTTGAGAATAAATCTTTCAAAGTCAATAAGATATTATTTTTTATCAAATGAATTGTGTTTAATCAAGACCAACATCAGAAACCACACTTTTTTCTCAACACATATGAAGTGTTGATAGAAATCAAAATGTGCTATATACCGTATAATGGTTTTTCTGCATGTCAAAGTTTTTTGCAGAAATATTCCAAAACACTGTTGTTTTTAGTTTGCATAGTCATTTTTGCCATTCTTCCCTTAGTTTATTAAAGTTATCCATGTAATCTATACGGTATATAATTTGTTGCAATTTTATGCAAAATTATTTTTTACGATCTAAAAATGCTCTCAAAGAAATTGAAAATTGGATTATTATGCCCATTATATGATATGTCCAATAAAAATGTCAATATACCGTAGTGTCACATCTATAGTGTGTATATGTGAACAAGTATGCACTGCCCACCTTTTAGCTACGTAAAAAAATGTCGTAGCATAGAGAAAAATCAATCATGAGGTCCCCCAGGAGCCACAATTGCTCGACCAGAATGGCTGTAGCCAATAAAATAAAACTGTAACACTTTAAAACAAAAACAAAAAAGTCTCTCACGAGGCTGTAGCCCTAGTGGTTTGTACTTATAAAAAGAGGCTAAGGGCTCTTAATGGTATAATACAACCCTGTAAAGGATCCAAAGACACACAGTTTCTTTCATTTCTTTGGCTGAAATGAGGAATTATCATGAGGTAGGTGGGGTTGAGAAGATGATGACAGATATTTATATTCTCTATCCAGAGATTCTTTGGCATGTTTGGCAAAAAATCAGTATTGCATTTGCAAAAGTAGAGCAAGTTCTGCAGTGAAGTTATCGCAGAAGTTTTAAGAAATGGAATAATTGGTTTTGGAGCATTATAATCAGGTATCATCTGTAAAATCTTTTAACTTTCAAAAACTAGAAAAACCATTGGTAAACTTTTTCATTTAAAACTTTTAATCTTTAATCTACAAGGGGTTGTGACATATATATCAACCTTGCAGATCCACATCAGCCCTGAAAGCTGATACTGGTATTGTGACGTCTGGCATTTTGCATGCGCAAAACTAGAAAAATGTCCATAGGACATGAATGCCCCACCCAGTTCATTAGTAATGCAACATCAAAATTTGTATTAATGTACAAAGTTTGATGAAAATATCTTGAACAGTTTCTTTAAAACTGAGTTTTATACACAATAAATAGTAAAGTCAAACATTGTTAAAAAGGCTCTGCAAAAAAAATTGGACACAGTTGATGAATTCTCACCAAATTATGTATCAGTGCATAAGCTTACGTAAAAATATATTGAATATTTTTTTTTTTCAAACTGATTTAGATGCAAATTTAAGAAAAGTGAGGTCAAGGTCAAACAAGAGATTTTTGTGAAACACTTATGCCCCCCCCCCCCCCATAATTGGAATTTTTCAAAATCCAAGGGGCATAACTCTATGAGGCCCTATTGGGGAATCCTTCAAATACAAGTATTCATTGGGGACTTTGTGTATTTTTTTTATGTCCCAGAGTGCATCTCCACTTTAAACTCTTGTAGAAAAATGTGCACTATATATATGACATTACGGTAATGCATGTACAACAACAAAATCTGAACAAATACCAAAGATACTTGTTCTAGTTAATGTTAACTCACTGGTCCTTGACTATATTCTGAATAAAACATGGTTCTTTTTAATCATAAATAGTACTATGAAGTAACTTTTTTTAAGGTAAAAACTTTAAATTATTACAAAGCTCACCATTCATTGGGCCATCTTCTCCTTCAATATCATCAATAACTTTGGTTAGGGCATCTTGATCCTGAGACATTTCCTCTACTGCTGTTTGATACTGTCCTTTCATGAATAACTCATATTGTCCTGTAAGTAAATTATAAAGGAAGTACTGTACCATGTTGCCCTTTCAAGAACAAGAGGCCCATGGACCACAGAAATTAGCTGCAATAATGTAGCCCTCTCCGTTTTTTTTTTTTTTTTTTTTTTTGGGGGGGGGGGGGGGGGGAGGGCTACAACTCCTTAGGATCTCCGTAATGGTGCAAGTGTGGGAGTGATTCACTACCACACAGATTTTGGCTCAAATTATCAGTAAGTGGGTATTTTATTAACATATCTTACCTGAACTCATAAAATGTAGTTATGCAGGACATGAATTGATACAAAAATATACAGAACAATCCGTATATCGGGAATTTTTCGTGTATGTCAACAACACAACTTGAATTTATCCGCCATGTTTATCCGCCTTGATCAATTTTATTTAGGGACAACCAATGAGATTTTGGGATCTTGTGGAGCGGATCTGTATGGATTTCCCTTTTTATAAGCATAAATATCACTCTTTATGATAAAAATATCATATGGAATGCTTTTATTTATCGATGTTTAGTGATATCATACAACACAAACATTTATCAACACTAACATTTACATTATCAAGTGATTCTAAATTTCAAGCGCAAGTCTCAGTACATCATGCAAGAACTGACATGGCTGCTGAGAAGAATGACTGGAAAACACGCAGATTTATTTTACTTGGTTTTCGTGTAAAAAGGGCTATGATGTTGATAGTGAATAAAAATTCCATCTTATTGGAAGTAAGTTGAATGCAAAAACAATTTATTTTGCTTGCAGTCGCCCGTATCTAAAAAATATATTTGCACCATTACGGAGATCCTAAGGAGTTGTAGCCCTCTCCTGAAAATACTAGATTAAAAAAAAATTAAGAGGGCTACATTATTGCAGCTAAGCAGAAATCAGTAAAAAGTTTTCATATATAAGTGGCCCACTATTCCCCAGGAGGGGGCAGGGGAGGTGCTCATGACCTGAACAAACTTGAATATACACTAACTGAAGATGCTTCTATATTTATATGACTGGTCATGGCTTTAGAAGATTTTTTTATTGATATTCTCTTATATATTCTTATGTAAAAGTTTTATCTTCTATTGTGGTCCCACCCTACTCCAAGGGGTCATCATTTGAACAAGCTTAAATCTAAAATATCTGAGCATCCTTCCATATTTATATAATTATTCATGGCTTTGCTGTTCTGAAGAAGAAAATTTTTAAAGATTGTGCCTATGTATTCCTGTGTAAACATTGATCACCTGATATGGCCCCATCCTAGCCCCAGGAGCCTTGATTTGAACAAACTTGAATCTGCATTACCTGAGAATGCTTCCATATAAATTTGAATATCCATGACTTTGTTGTTCTTAAGGATTTTAAAAGATTTTTCCTACATATTCTTATGTGAAACTCCGATTACATATTGTGGCCCTACCCTACTCCCAGGGGGTCATGATTTGAACAAACTTAAATATACAATACCTGTGAATGCTTCCATATTAATATGACTGATCATGGCTTTCCTGTTCTTCATCAGAAGGTTTTTAAAGATTTTTCCTATATATACCAATGTAAAACTTTGAACGCCCATTGCGGACCCACCTAGTCCTGGGGATCATGATTAAAACAAACTTGAATCTATACTACCTGAGGATGCTTCCAAATGAATATGACTAATCATAGCTTTGCTGTTTCTCAGAATATTTTTAAAGATTTTTCCTATATATATTCCTATGTAAAACTTTGATTGCCCATGATAGATGATCTGGCCCCATACTGGCTCCAGGGGTCATGATTTGAACAAATTTGAATCTACACCATGTAATGAAGCTTTCACGTAAGTTTCATCTTTTCTGGCCCAGTGGTTACTAAGCAGAAGATGCCATTAAATTTTCACTTTTCTTAATTACCTCCCCTTGAAAGAGGGCCTGGTACTTCCTGTAAACAATTTGAATCCCCTTAATCCAAGGATGTTTTGTGGCGAATTTGGTCGAATTTGGCCCATTGATTCATGAGAAGAAGTTGAAAACGTGAAAAGTTTACAGAAGACACACACAACAGACAGATGAAAGACACTCTTCAATCAGAAAAGCTCACATGAGCCTTCAGCTCTGGTGAGCTAAAAACTCAGCTGGCATTTAAATAAATTATCTCAACTTATTCAATCTCTGTTTCTTCAATAAGAATTTTTATTCCATGTAAAATTATTAGCCTTTATTGGGGTACCACAGAGTTTTTGAAATAAAAAAAATATTCACTGGTCAAGTGGACCAGTGATTTAGTGAAATTCACTGGTCCACACAAATATTCACTGGTCCATTAGCATACATATTGAGATACTTAAACCAGAAGTCTCTGACAAGTCTGTAGCTCTACTGGTTGTACTTATAAAGGAAGATAAAAGTAGCACTTGGACTTGAAACTTTGCGACAGCAATAAATAGAATAATGATCCTTGGTTTTGTCTCTTTTTGTGGCAAGATTTATTGCAATCAGACTAAAACTGTAGGAGGAGTAGCCTTTTCAAGCAATTTTACAGAAATTTCGATTTAAGTAACCATGGCAACATCATTCAACAAAATCAAAAAACACAATAAAGACAATAATGTATGTCAGTGTAGTCTACTTGTATGACAAGTTATACTGAAATCAGACAAAAAGTGTAGGAGGAGTAGCATTTTGAAATTTTTTTCACAGAAATTCTATTTTTAGTAACCATGGAAACATTGTTCATTGAAATCAAAAACCAATAAATAGAATTATGTATCTTTGTGTAGTCTACATGTGTATCAAGTTATATTGAAATCGGAGCAAAACTGTAGGAGGAGTAGCGTTTTGAATGTATTTCACAGAAATTCTATTTTTAGTAACCATGGCAACACCGTTCATTGAAATCAAGAACCAATATACAGAATTATGTATCTTAGTGTAGTCTACTTGTGTGCCATGTTATACTGAATCGACCAAAACTGTAGGAGGAGTAGGGTTTTGAAAGTATTTCACAGAAATTTTATTTTTAGTAACCATGGCCGCACCATTCATAAAAATCAAAAACCGATACACATAGAATTAGGTATCTTATCAAAGTCTACTTATTTGCCAAGTTATATTGAAATCAGATCAAAACTGTAGGAGGAGTAGCGCTTTGAAGGTTTTTCACAGAAATTTCTATTTTTAGTAACCATACAAACACCATTCATTGAAATCAAAAACCGATATACAGAATTATGTATCTTAGTGTAGTCTACTTGTGTGCCAAGTTATATTGATATCAGACCAAAACTGAAGGAGGAGTAGCGTTTTGAAAGTATTTCCCAGAAATCTCTATTTTTAGTAACCATGGCAACACTGTTCATTGAAATCAAAAACCAATACACAGAATTATGTATCTTAGTGTAGTCTACTTATGTGCCAAGTTATATTGAAATCAGACCAAAACTGTAGGAGGAGTAGCATTTTGAAAAATTGTTTACAGACAGACAGACAGACGGACGGACGACGGACACCTTACTATGGCATAAGCTCTTCTGGTCTCTGACCAGTAGAGCTCAAAAATCAAAAACTTGAGAATTTTTTTTAATTCCAGTTAGGCCTTAAAAAATTTGTTTGTTTCCTGTAACATTCCAAAACAAAAATCAAGGGTTGGGATTTTTTTTTTGGCTAATGAATGAGAGGGTCAAACATCCCCAGACTGAATTAACCAGGTGTGATATTTATAGTGGACACCAAACATGGCTGTCTACCGCAGAAAACAAACTTCTACATGTAAATGTTGTGGGGGAAATGCTTGATGTAACAATTAAGATTACTCTTTATATTTAAGGGAAATGATGATTAGGTTGACATATGTTATATCCCAAATAAAGCTACAATTAACATTTTTTGTATAAATTGAATTAGCTGATTAAACAAACACAGATATGGCAGAAAAAAAAAATCACCCGGGGGTAATTTGAATAGGTCTGATTTTCTTTTACCAAATTTATTAGGCCATGACGCCGCCACTTTGTGAAAAACTAACTGTCCTGAAAGCAATTGAGTTTATTTAATCATACATGCAGATTCAATCGTTTTGATGATCTCACAAATAAACTTAACCTCCACAGGTTAAGAAGTTAAAATTTCGGAAAGGTCGAAATTTTTTACACCGGTGGCTTGGACTGATTACATGGAGAAAATTACTGCACTTTTGAAATATTCACCGGTTTTGCCGGTGGGACCGATGGATTTCAAAAACTCTGGTACCATCTTACCCTTCAGGGCCAAGATATGAACAAATTTGTTTCTGCACTACCTGACTACTACAGTGCAGGGAACTAATTTTGTTACATAAACCAGCATCAGCATAAGCATTAGTAGCATCAGGATCGAGCTAGCATCAGCATCAACATTTAAATCAAAAGCCTGAAAGGCTTCAATGACGTCGAAGAAGAAAAACAATTTCAAAAGATCATTTTGAATTTGAAGATAGCAATAAGTCAAGTGAGTGACTCAGGAGAAATAATAAAAAAATAGTTTTAAACAAAATATCACAATTACAGTCTGGGGCCTTATGTCATGGTCCGAATGGAGCAGGGTTCGAATTGACCAGACACCGTCGAACATGTTTCATGCTAAATTCTTTTCAGTCAGTTGAAGAACTATGAAGGATTTCATAAATTTATATAATATTTTTTCTAATTGCCAATGTCAAAGCGTTGTATTAGTGATTGCATCTAAACTACAACCAAGACTGTTCTGTTACAATTACGATCGAGTTACGATCGGGCGTGGTATACGGTATACTGGGAAATGGAGGAAATAGAGAAATACAGTAATACTGGTCAACATCATCGGTTTTTAGGATAAAGTTGGTCAGAAGATTGTAAAAGTAAAGCTAAGATTTACAAATTCAATCTTTTCAGTCTTATAGTATTCGTGTTTATGTAATTTTGTAAATTATTTTACCGCCTGTTGGGTTTTTTATTGTTCCACGGTTATCGTTCCAAAATGTTATTCATGTCATTCGACGCACCTTTCTGTAGAAATTCATCCGCAACAACCATCACGTTTTTATTGTGTGAAAATAAAACATAATATCGTTGTTTTGTAAAAGAATTAATTGTAGATACAATTGATGCAATTTCATTTTCAAGCTATAATTATTCATTGTGAGCGTTTTAAAAGAAATTGGTTTATAGCTATTGCTATTTTCTATTGCGGATGCATCCACTGACACATTCTGTCGCGTACATCCCTTGGCGATTTCACTTGGCCGATCGCTAGATGACGTTCGAGCTCCAAGAGCTCGACGTCATAAAAACAGCATTACCAGGATCAGCATCAGCAAGCAAAGGATAAAACCAGCATCGACCTACATAAAATCAGCATTATCCTACTAGCATCAGAAAATCAATGAGTTTTAATTCAGTAAAAAATTAAAAAAGAAAGAAAGAATATTGGTTAAAGTATTCACATTATTGATACATAGTGAGATATTATGATCAAATAATTGTAAAAGGCACTTTTATTGCTTTAAACGGCAATGCTGAAATTCATTATCTACTTCCGGTAGCATGATGCTACTTCCGGTAGCATTGACCTAATTATAAAACAGCATCAGGATAAAGATTACTAGCATTAAATCAGCAAGCAAAGGAAGCATTCAAATCAGCAAGGAAAGGAACCATTCAAATCAGCATCGATGCTGTAACAAAATTAGTTTCCTGCACTGTAATGCTTGCAAATTGATATGACTGATAATGACTAAGTTGTTCTTAAGAAGATTTTTAAAACAAGAGGCTCATGGGCCAAAGTGCTCGCCTGAGTAACTTTGATACTGATGTTCTTCTTCAACAGATTCTTTTTTAAATTTTCCTCTTTAATATCATAAAATTTTTACTCCATATCATGGACCAAAATATAGCTCTAGGGGAGCTATGATTCCACTGAATCCACACAATATTAGGAAGAAAAAGTTTTTTTTTTTCCTTTCTGCCAAACCCTAACCTTAGGGCTCATAATCTGCTGTTCATGGAGGAAGAATTTTAAAGATTTTTCCTATAGTAAACATTCCTTTGTAAAACGTTGACCTTTTGTGGCCATTCCCCTTCTCCCTTGGGCCCACAATTAGAACAAACTTGAATTCACACGACCTGGGGATGCTTCCAAATAAATATGACTTATTATGCATTTGCTGTCTTGAGAAAATTTTTCCTATGAAAAAATTTGCTCAGCTATTGTGGCCCCACCCTACACCCAGGTGCCATAATTTGAACAAACTTAAATCTACATGACCTGGGAATACCTCCATATAAATATGACTAATCAATAATTGCTGTTCTTCAGCAGATGATTTAAAAAAAAAATTTTTGTACATATTCTCTTGTCATCCCTGAAAGAGGGTGTGGCCCTTTATTTGAACAAATTTAAATCCCCTTCCTTCACCAAAGTATGCTTTATGTCAAGTTTGGTTGAAATTGGCCAAATGATTTTTGAGAAGAAACTGTAAATGTAAAAAAAAGTTTACGAGGAGTTTGATGACAACAGACTATGAACTAACTTCAATCAGGAATACTCACCTGAGCCTTTGGCTCAAGTAAGCTATAAATAGAAAAGCTAATGACAGAAAGTAAAAACATTGACTGCCACTTCTCTACAAACTTGATGAATTTTTTTTTAAGTATTCCTTACTGTACAAATTTTTTTCCTTTGGTGTTTTCTTCATAATACACAGTCAAATATGTCATTTTTGACAATCTCCGTTCTGGTTCATGCAAATATCAAGCATGTAGCGTTTATAAACAATGACAACTTACGTCTTTCCACTTCTGGGCGAAGTCTTTTGTTTTTGATGAGTATTTTTCCTTTGAGCTGATTGGGTGACGGAAGGGGTACTCCAGCTTGCAACTGTTAATCAATGCAAAGATTAAAACAGAAATAGTTTAACAAATAAGAATATATGTGCATGTATATCAAATAGTTAAGGCCATAATAAAAAAATTCCTAGATTCTCATCCCCGCCCACTCCGATTTTTTACCCCAGCCTCGATTTTTTTTATTTCTGTTTATCTTCGTCTTAATTCTGATCGGGATCGGTATTCAACTACCATTCAACTTTCGTTTTCAATCCATTGAATGTCGGCATGATTTTGACAGCTGACAAGATGGTAACTGTTGTAATATGTATTAAACAAGGATCATTGGTTGTGAAAGATTGGTGATGATGTGTAGTAAGGGAATGATATGCATATTTAAATGGACCTCTACTATGACTTTTATTCGGGCATTATATATACATCTGCACTGACTGATCAGTTCAACAAAAAATCTGCACAATGGGAAAAAATGAAAAATAAAAAATAAAATCCATCCGCCCGCCTCGATTTTTCAAAAAATTCGGATGAGAATCTAGGTATTTTTTTATTATGGCCTACACAGAGACAATAATAAAAATATTTTTTACCTCATAATTTGCCAATTTAGATATGTCAATATTTTTTAACACTGCAAAAAAATTGAAATTAAAGACTATGATTTGAATTGTGTTAAATCAAAAAGTTATGAAAGAAATCTTGAAATCATCTTGTCTTTAAAATTCTCTGCAGATTTACTGGGCAATTTTCCAATGGTTTCTTCAATAACATATCCCCAAATATCTCCTCACAGTACTTGGCCATTTTATATTGTTGTGGCTTGCTGAAAAAATTAGAGAATTTCCATCTCAATATACATCATAATGGTGAATGAGAATGGACAATTCATTTTATGATAGATAGATTTTTAACTCCATATCCAGAAAAACTTTTTTATTTCATTAGTATTTCTGAATGCCCCCATGCCAACTGTTATTGAGTAAAATCTTGTCAGCATAACAAACCTGCAATGATTTTCAAATGACAGTATAACAGGGTACTGAGATGTGATGAATGCAGTTTCTGCTATTGCCTGAATAACATCCTACAAAACAAAACCAACAAGAAATTTTAATACATCAATCTTTACATTGTAACTAGTCTTCATAAAGGTGACTACATATACATAAATTTCACTGTTACAAAGGTTTGACCCCTTTCACCATTCTGTACACCAATACCTAAATGACCAAATGCTGCTAAATTCAAATTGAAAACTAGAACTGTCCAAAATGGACAAATACCCCCCCCCCCTCCCCCCTTGGGTTGTCCAGAAAAGGTGCCAAGTCACTAAACATATTTTATGGATCTAGGAGGTGTTCACATTTGTTAAAACATTTAGAATGAAAATTTATTTGCTCATTATACTAAGGTGCAGCCTAATTAAACATCAATACTAATGATTAAGTTGTTTTTTATTAGATTGAAAATATAAATTGCAACACTTTGTCCTTGACCAGTAAAAATAGATATACCTTAAACAGAATATCTGTGCACATTGCCATGCCATGGGTAATGATTGGTTCCTGTTCCTCTTTTGTTCCATCCCAAATATCTAACTCAATACTCCTAAAAATAAATTACAATAAAAATGAATTACAGCAATGCTTCATGTGCCATCTCTAAAATTCAAAGACACCAGAACTGTTTGCCAGAAATTGATAATATATATGTTAACAGAAGGCCCATGTCCCTTGATGGTCACTAAGAATTACAGTCAACCCTGTATTAAGCAGTCATCTGCGAAAACCATTAAAAGTGATCTTCATACAGAGGTGAACTTCAAATAGAGAATCATCTTTAAATTCACTTGAATCTACACTTCCTGAGGATACTACCATAAAATATGACTTATTATGATTTTTTGTTAATAGTCTTCATAGGAAAAATATTTTCTCATATATACCCATGTAGAACTTTAAGTGCCCAGAGAGGCCCATCCCATACCCCCAGGGGTCATGATTTGAACAAACTTAAATCCAAACTATGTCAAGAAGCTTCTACATAAGATTCATCTTTTCTGGCCAAGAACTTCTTGAGAAGATTTTTAAATGACCCCACCCAAGTTTTAGTTTTTCTTAATTATTTCCCTTTGGAAAAGGGTGTGGCCCTTCATTTGAATAAACTTGAATCCCCTTACCCAAAGACACTCTTTGCCAAGTTTTGTTGAATTGGCCCAGTGGTTTTGGGAAGAAGATGAAATGTAACCAGAAGTCTCTGATGAAACTGTAGCTCTACTGGTCTGTACGTATAACAAAGGAAAAGTAGCACTTGGATGTGAAACTTTGCAACATGCAACAATAAAAAGAATTATGTCTCTTTATGTAGTCTACTTCTGTGCCAAGTTATATTGAAATCAAACGAAAACTGTAGGAGGAGTAGCGTTTTGAAATTATTTCACAGAAATTTCTATTTTTAGTAACCATGACACCACCATTCACTGAAATCAAAAACCGAAATACATATTATGTATCATAGTGTATTCTAATTGTGTGCCAAATTAGATTGAAATCAGACCAAAACTGTAGGAGGAGTAGCGTTTTAAAGTAATTTCACAGAAATTTATATTTTTAGTAACCATGGCAACACCGTTCATTGAAATCAAAAACCGATGCACTAAATTATGTATCTTAGTGTAGTCTACTTGTATGCCAAGTTATATTAAAATCAGACCAAAACTGTAGGAGGAGTAGCATTTTAAAGGAATTTCACAGAAATTTCTATTTTTAGTAACCATGGCAACAACGTTCATCAAAATTAAAAACTGATGCATTAAATTATGTATCATTTTACAGTCTACTTGTGTGCCAAGTTATACTGAAATCAGACCAAAACTGTAGGAGGAGTAGCGTTTTAAAGGAATTTCACAGAAATTTCTATTTTTAGTAACCATTGCAACATTGTTCATCGAAATCAAAAACCGATGCACTAAATTATGTATCTTAGTGTAGTCTACTTGTGTGCCAAGTTATACTGAAATCAAACCAAAACTGTAGGAGGAGTAGCGTTTTGAAAAAAAATTGTTTACAGACAGACGAACGGACAACGGACACCTTACTATCGCATAACTAACAAGAGGCCCATGGGCCACATCGCTCACCTGAGCACATTGGCTAGGAAAAAAAGCAAAAATCAGTTCAGTATTGAAAAGTTAACGGGGGAGAGGGGGGGGGGGGGAATGGGGAATTTTAAACTACCTAACAATGCTTTCATATCAATATAACAAATGACTTTGCTGTTCTTGAGCAGAAGATTTTTTCCCATATATTCATTTGTAAAAATTTGATCCCCCATTGTGGCCCCACCCTACCCTTGGGGGCGCTCATTTCAACAAATTTCATTTTATACTACCCAACGCTGCTTCCATATCAATTTGCTTTTCTGTTCTTGTGAGAAAGATTTTTTCCTATATATTCCTCTGTAAACTTTGATTCCCCATTGTGGGCCCATCCTACCTCCGGGGGTCATGATTTGAACAAACTTGAATCTACACTACCTGAGGATGCTTCCATATAAATATGACCAATCATGTCTTTGCTTATCTTGAGAAGAAGATTTTTAAAGTTTTTTTCTATATACTCTTATGAAAAACTTTGACCCCCCCCCCCATTGTGGCCTCACCCTACCCCCGGGAGTCATAATTTGAACAAGCTTGAATCTACACTACCTGAGGATGCTTCCATATAAATATGACTCTTCATGGCTTTGCTGTTCTTAAGAAGAAGATTTTTAAAGATATTTTCCTATATATTTCTATGTAAAACTTTGATCCCCCATTGTGGCCCCACCCTACCCCCGGGGGTCATGATTTGAACAAACTTGAATCTACACTACCTGAGGATGCTTCCATATAAATATGACCAATCATGGCTTTGCTGTTCTTAAGAAGAAGATTTTTAAAGATATTTTCCTATATATTTCTATGTAAAACTTTGATCCCCCATTGTGGCCCCACCCTACCCCCAGGGGTCATGATTTGAACAAACTTGAATCTACACCACCTGAGGATGTTTCCACTTAAGTTTCATCTTTCCTGGCCCTGTGGTTCTTGAGAAGAAGATTTTTAAATGATGCCATTATTTTTTCACTAATTCCTAATTATCTCCCCTTGAAAGAGGGCGTGGCCCTTCATTTGAACAAACTTGAATCCCCTTTACCCAAGGATACTTTGTGGCAAGTTTGGTTGAATTTGGCCCAGTGGTTCTTGAGAAGAAGATGAAAATGTGAAAAGTTAACGACAATGCCAACGCCAACGACAACGACGACAGACAACGGACAAATTTTGATCAGAAAAACTCATTTGAGCCTTTGGCTCAGGTGAGCTAAAAAGTACAACATACAAGAGGCCCATGGGCCACAATCCTCCTCTGAGTCAATATGGTCCTGCTGTTCTTCATCAGCAGATTTTTTCTATTATATTTTTCCTATGTAAAACTTCGATCCCTGTTGTGACCCCATCCTACCCCCAGGTGTCATGATTTTTATAGATGTAGAGCCACCCCCTACCCCCTCGGGATCATGATTTTGAACAAACTTGAATCTACACTGCCTCAAGATACTTTCATATCAATGTAACTAAACATGGCTTTGCTGTTCTTGAGAAAAAGACATAGAAGATTTTGAGTTTTACATACCTACATCCAGCTAGAAGCACCTGTCTATACATTTCTACTGAGGAACGCCCACCAAACTGTCTGCCAGTTAGGTATGTGTTGTGTGAAGAATTAATGAAGTAATGACACAGAGGTTGATCCATGTCCATGTATATGTCCAACCTTTCTAAATACACAGGAGCATTTTCATCTGACATCAAATATCGACAAAATCCATCAGAACTTAGCCATTCTAAAAACAGGAAAAAAAAAAAATTACTTTGCAAAATACTACATTATTCTATTATCTATTTCATGGAACATTGGAAAAAGAATTAAATTGCCCCTTAAATCAGTATTGAATTTTTATCACATTACTAAATTTACAAAAAACATGGGTACTTAATTAATATCCCAAAAGGATGTTAATTAAAGAACAAGAACATGAATTGGCATGTGGATTCTGATAAAAAGTTTTTACATGTATTTCAGCAATATAACCAGAAGTCTCTTACAAGACTGGTTTGTACTAAAAACAAAGGTACAGAAAGGTAGCACTTGGACTTGAAAAAACAGCAATAAATAGAATAATGATCTTTGGTTAAGTTTCTTTTTGTGGCAACATTTAATGCAATCAGACTAAGTGTAGGAAGAGTAGCCTTTTGAAAGAATTTTACAGAAATTTCTTATTTTCATAACCATGGCAACACAGTTCATCAAAGTAAATGAAAGGCCAATGGGCCACAGTGCTCATCTGAGTAACTGTGGTCCTTCTTGTTCATCAGCAAATTCTTTTTCCTATATATTTCCATGTAAAATTTGATCACCCATTGTAGCTTCACTCTATCCCCAGGGTCATGATTTAAAAAAACTTGAACCTACATATCCAAGAATACTTTTTTTTGTAAATCATGACTAATAATGACTTTGTTGTTCCTGGGAAAAAGATTTCTAAAGATTTTTTTCTATATATTCCTATGTAAAACCTTGATCTCCCATTGTGATCACATCCAAGGCTTGATTTGAACAAACTTGAATATACACTACCTTTGGATGCTTCTATATAAATATGACTGATCATGGCTTTGCTGTTCTTGAGAAGAAGATTTTTACAGATATTTTTTATGTATTTCTTTCTTAAACTTTGATTGCCCATTGTGGCCACACCCTTCCCCCCTGGGGTCATGTTTTGAACAAACCTGAACATACACTACCTGAGGATGCTCATATAAATATGACTGATCATGGTTTTGCTGTTCTTCATCAGAATGTTTTTTTAAAGATTTGTATGTATTCCTATGGAAAACTTTGATCCCCATTGTATACCCACCCTACCCCAGGGGTCATGATTTGAACAAACTTCAATCTACACTTCCACATAAATATGATTAATCATGGCTTTCCTGTTCTTGAGAAGAAGAGTTTTAAAGGTTTTTCCAATGTCTTCCTTTTTAAAATTTTGATCACCCATTGTGGCCCCTCCCTACCCCCAGGGATCTTAATTTGAACAAACTTGATTCTACCCTACCTGAGGATACTTCCATTTAAATATGACCAATCATGGCTTTTCTGTTCCTGAGAAGAAGATTTTTAAAGATGTTTCCTGTGTATTCCTATGTAAAATTTGATGATCCATTGTTACCCCTCAACCCTGGGGGTCATGATTTAAACAAACTTGAACCTACTCTGCCTGAGGATGCTTCCACGTAAGTTTCAACTTTTTTGGCTTAGTGATTGAAACTGAAACTGAGAAGAAATTTTTAAAAGATGCCATTAATTTATCACTAATTTCTAATTATCTCCCCTTGGAAGAAGACATGGCCCTTCATTTGAAAAATTTGAATTCCATTTATCCAAGGATACTTTGTGGTAAGTTTGGTTGAAATTGGCCCAGTGGTTCTTGTCAATGAAGTCAAAAATGTGAAAAGTTTACAGACAGACGGATGGACAGATGGCTGAACACCAAACAAAATGTGATCAGAAAAGCTCACTTGAGCCTTTGGCTCAGGTGAGCTAAAAAGTGGATAGTTATTTCTTAAATAAATTCTTTGTATGTATTTCAGAATTTACATGAAGTAATGTTCCTCCATATGATCTGAAAATGTGTAATAAAGGTCACTCAGTTCATGTAGAGGTATTAATTTCAACTTTGTAATGCTTGATTAGAATGAATTAAACCACTGAATGTGGCTGAAATGCCATTAAATGTCATGATACTAAAGGTCATATGATGATGACTATATGCATATGATTGAGGATGGGAATCTTTTTTCTGTGCTTTCATCTAAAAACTTGCTTGAAATTGGTTTACCATTCTCAATGTATTCTGGGTCTTTTTCATAGTTCTGGATGATCTGAAGAATTCTTTTCTTGTTATAATGTGGGAATAAAATTTCATTTAATCGAGGGTCTCTCTGTCTCTGAAAAAAAAACAACAACTTATATTCATATTACTAAATATATTTACTTTTTTCAAAAAATTACAGGAGAGGCTTATAAAAAAAAATTTTGTTAGAAATAAATTGTGAAGCTTAAAATACTGTCATATTCAGAAGGGGTGAAATGATACGCCTCCTTCACAATACAATAGGTATTGTATAATTTTGTCAGGGTTTGTTTTTTTTTTTGATATGATACATTTTGATAGAAGGAAACAAATTGAAAGTTTTTTTAAGTCTTGTTTCACTAAAACCAGTAACTTAATCTACATGAAAATTGACTAAAAGAAATTGATTGGAAAGATGTGACTATTAAAGATTATTCTACAAACAATTAGTCCTCAAATATCATGTATTTAAAGAATGAGTGCACTTTAGTACGTCATTTGGAACCTTTTCGGCTACCCATTTTAAGCTTTACATTACAATATATCGCTTAATTAATCTATGATTATTGTGCAAGCATATTCTTTTGATATTTATTCCTTGAATTTTTTGTCATACATATTTCTATAATTACAGACAATGTCATTGAAAAGAACATATACAAACCTTAAATTCCGGAAATTTGAACGGGACCACTTACGAATTTAAGGTATCCGCAAATAGGCGGAGTCATTTAAATCGCATGGATGTGGAATGTAAACATTAGCACATATATGATTTTTTTCGCACTGCGAATTTAAATGGAGAAGAGAGAGATTGTGTAGTTTTATGGTGCACAAATAATAAATGATTCTAGTGTTTAGGGATGGGGAAGATGTCTCACCCTGCAGACCATTATACAGAGGCGACATGAGCCTGTACATGTACTTACTTATCACACTGTCAATACCAGAATTCTTTCAAAACACCCGTAATGAAAAATACAAAGTAAAATAAGAGACATATAATCTTCAAACCCTATTAAAATTTGCGCAAAAATCTTCCATAGTTTGAAGTTGAAAGTACGATAGATACTGTCACAATAGAAACTTTCAATAACAAACACAATGAAATGCTCAATGAAAGCCTTAGCGTATCGAACAGTGGAATGTCACGTGAGTAAAGTGATTATAATATCAATCGTTGACACTCAGTGAACTGTTAATTTAGTGGCTAATTCCACCATAGTTTGGAGACTTTTTCAAAAAATTAGATATGAGCCGCAATTTGTCCAACATTGTCCTTTGGATATGTTGAAGTTTAAATCAAAATACACATTCTGTACAAATGAGACCAATGGACAAGTTGCGGCTCGATGTAAACAATGTCGTTGAAAACTGGTATGCATATGAATAACAATAGAAATGTGACAAAACTGTTATACCCCCGTCTCAAAAGCTAGTGTTGCTCGGCATTATTTAATACTTTCATGTAGCATAATATACCAAAACCTGCTCTTAAGACATTGTTTAATACCTATAAAACATAAAGTTTATGAACTTTGGAATTTTATTTTGCGCAAAACACCGGGACCCAGCTCTCATAGCTTAAGTGCACTCATCCTTTCAATCATGCTGTGTAGCTCATTTTTATTAATGCCAATCTTGACTGAATTATGATCCCGGCCGAAAAATGAACAGAACGGTAAACGGAGATTTCGTACTGTGTATCAAACCAACAAAAAATACTGCGGTGAGTTGATACTGTGGTGAACCATTTCACTCCTAATATTCATATCTAGGCACTTACATTACATAGAACAATGCTCGGTAAGGGCCCTATTTGGCCCTGTCAAATTAAAATGAACTGTACCATCAAAAATAATTTGACATCCATCTTTAATTACATAAACATTCCAAAAGAAGTGGAATTTGTCACAGCATATTTTAAGTACATTTAAAGTATTTAGTGGCAATCTAAGAAATCCACTTAATTTTCTACACACAAACAGGAATTGTGATTCACAGGGGAAAAAAATCACTTCACTGTAAGCATAAATTCATTATAAGTGTACTTGCTATAAGCGTGTTTTACTGTATCGTCATCCTTAAGTGTAAGTTTGGTGATGATCTGCCCAGTTGTACATAGAAAAATTTTTTAGCAACCACTACATTTTCTGTATTTCCCTAATTATCTTAGGAGTTGGGGATAAGAGATGGGTACCCCAAAGCGTAATGGACGAATGGATGGACAGACAGATGGAACAACAAAGGATGTCAAAAATGTGAAATTTAAAGATGGACAGACAGATGGAGGCCTGACAAAATGTGAGCAGAAAAGCTCACTTCAGCCTTTGGATCAGGTGAGCTAAAAATACTTAAATCTAAGCAATTATTGCAAGGCATTTCACACACAATGCTTACATTTTCATGAATGAAAATGCTCCTGTTCATTAGGAATTTTTTTTTTGAAAATTACATGATAAATGACAATATTAATACAATGAACTGGCCACCACTTCTCCTGATTTGAACATAAAAGAAAACATTTTGCTGCATTTAAAAAGAGAATTAAAACAGGTATCCATGTCGTAAACTCAAAAATAGTGGACACTAGGACTAAGTGGAAAACATTCCATCAAATTTTGTAAAGATCTTTATAATGCTATACCAGGACAAATAAGGCCAAAAAAATTAATCAATAGTTTCTCAGGCACCACCGCATCAAGTCAAAAACTGCAACATTGATCAATTTTATTGACATATTGAAAATGGAAATAACTCAATTTTCTATTTTTCCAAGTTAAAAAAGAAAACTGAGTTATTTCCCTTTTCATAAATGCTAATAGATAGACGTTTTTAAAAGATAAACAATATATTTCTTGTTAATATGGTATTTTTATGAATTAACTTTTTAAGATTAACATTATTTAAAGTTGAACGCATATCACAATTAATGTAGGAGAACAAAAAAGTAATAATAAGTTGATATCATCATTTTGTTGACAAAAAAAAAAGGTATACAATATAACACCTACTTCCAAAAAAATAAATAAAACAAGAGGCCCAAGAGCCTTGAATCGCTCTTCTGATAAACTGTACAACCTATCACTTCTATTTGAATCCTGTATATTTAGATAAAGCTTTGAAATTCCAAAGGTAGGTCATCATGACCTACATTTTAGATGAAACACTCTGAGAACCCAAGATGATTCTAAGCCAATTAGTACCTGAGAGTAGGTCATGGTGACCTACTTATCACTTGTCATTCTCCGAGGACCCAAGATGCATCAACTAAGTTTGATGATTCTAAGCCAATTAATACCTAAAATATTTCATTATAACCATAAAATTTCAAAAGTAGGTCACAGTGACCTACTTTTCGGATGACATACTTTGCAGAGCCAAGTTACATCAACTGACAAAGTTTGGTGATTTTAAGCCAATTAGTACCTAAAAATATTTAAATATAGCAATAAAAATTTCAAAAGTAGGTCATTGTGGCCTACATTTCAGTCAACTTACTCCGAGGACCCTAGATGCATCAACTGACAAAGATGATTCTAAGCTAATTAGTAATCGAAATATTTGATTATAGCCATATAAATTGAAAAGTAGGTCACAGTGACCGACTTTTCAGTAGACATACTCCGAGGACCCTAGATGCATCAACTGACATATTTTGATGATTCTAAGCCAAATAGTACCTGGAAATATTAAATACAGCCATACAATTTCAAAAGTAGGTCACAGTGACCTACTTTTCAGTTGTCTTACTCCAAGGACCCAAGATGCATCAACTGACAAAGTTTGATGATTTTAAGCTAATTAGTACCCAAAAATATTTAATCATAGTCATATAAATTGAAAAGTAGGTCACAGTGACCTACTTTTCAGTAGACGTACTCCAAGGACCCAAGATGCATCAACCGACAAATTTTGATGATTCTAAGCCAAAAAGTACCCAAAATATTTAAATATAGCCATAAAATTTCAAAAGTAGGTCACAGTGACCACTTTTCAGTTGACATTTTTTGAGGACCCAAGATGCAGCAACTTACACAGTTTTATGATCATAGGCCTTAAAATGTCCAAATTATGCCTCTAAATCACTTTGAAATCAAATGTCTGCAAAGTTCAAAAAGTAGGTCACTGTGACCTTACAAGATTTAATGATTCTAAACCTCTTAGTATTCGAATTAATGACCTTAAATGTTTTAAAAAAGATAAGCCATAAATTTAAAAAGTCAGTCAAGGTGACCTACTTTTTAGTTGACGTACTCCAAGGACCCAAGATACATCAACTGACAAAGTGTGATGATCATAAGCCTTAAATTGTTCAAAATATGCCTCTAAATCATTTTGAAAAAGAATGGCCACAAAATTTAAAAAGTAGGTCACCGTGACCTACTTTTAAGTCACCATGATATGAGGTCCTTAGATGCATCAACTGACAAGATTCGATGATCCTTATAGTCCTTACAGTAAGCAAAATATCTACGTTTTAATAAAATGTAATTTTTGGTCAACTTTGAAGTGACCTTGAGACCACGCCCTTTGCCCCAGGGTGATGCCTTGAAAAATTTTTAATCTTCAACATATCCTCATCCTTGTGTGTAAGTTTGGTGATAATCTGCCCAGTGGTTCTTGAGAAGAAGATTTTTTAGGAACCAGTACTTTTGGTTTTATTTACCTAATTATCTCCCCTTGTTTAAGGGTCACAACTCTAGTTTTAGTATAAACGGGAGCCCTTGGGCCAAGGATACCCTGTGACAAATTTGACAATAATTGGCCGAGGGGTTCTTGAGTTATGGCCCATATTCTAAAAAGTTTACGCACACTGCACAAATGGCCATAGCATTAGCTCTTTGAGCCTTTGGTTCAGAAGATCTAAAAAAAAAAAACCTGCCTGCCTCATTGAATTTTGAAATTTTTGGCCTGAGAAACTATTAATTAATTTTTATTGGCCTAAGGGAAGTAACCAGGATGAAAGAAAACTAGACCAAATATTGAGAAAAGATTTTATTACTATCCACAACAGCTTTTTAACTTTGCCAAGTCAACATGCATTTCTCAGCGGTCATTTAACTTCACTAAGTCAACATGCATTTCTGGGCAGTCATTTTGAAAGTGGCACAGTTATGTCCCACGCTTGAAGTACTACAGCAAACAAGATATTATTCATATAACTTCTCCTAGTACCTTGATCTTCAAAAAAACATTTGCTCATAAATCTCATACAATATACCTCAAGTACAGTAAAACATACATATTATGAAGTGCCAGGGATGAATGATTTTGCTTCATTATACATGTAAGTGTAATTCGTAATATCTGTTAGATTCACAATATACTTCAGAGTCAAGGGAAATGAAAATCACTTTGCTGCAAGCATTAATTCACTATAAGCATGTTCGCTTCAAGCATGTTTTACTCTATAAGAGCTATTTTTGATTGGTAGATTTGCAAATTAAAAGAACATTGCTTCTCATTGTAAGATGAGGTTTGAATGCAATTCTACCAAATCAACTTAATATTGAGGACCACAAGCTCACCACATCCTCACATTGGAAATTTCTTGTTTGGGAGAGTCGGAATAAGATGTTAATTTTTACACTCTAAAGACTGAATCACAGTTTGCCTATGTCACATTTCACGTGAACCCTCAGTTTTAAGTCAATTTGGTAAATTTCAATCAAACTTCATTTAAATAAATTATATTCATTTAAATTTAGACATATTTCACTGTCTGAATCAAGAAGTGTGATTATGTTAATTCTAGCTATCATGGTAGCTCAGTGAGTAGAGCGCTTGCTCTGTGATCAGAAGGTTGTGTGTTCGAATCACGGCCATGACTGATCTAAGTCGATAAAAAATAGGTACTGGTTGCAATTGTTCCTTCGCGAGCACTCGGCACTTTGAAGTGAAAGTTGCGGGTCACGGTAGGCATTGGCACGATAAAGTACCCTCACTGCTCAATAGCCCTGAGTGCTGGGTAATGGTCTAAATTTGATGCCCTTCACCACTATATGGTGGCATCTCCATATGAGTGAAAAATTCTCAAACGTGACATAAAACAACATACAATCAATCAATCAATATGTTAATTCTTCTCAAATACATAAGCAGTGATGATTCTGTGAATTGGCCAAAATATCTGAAATAGTTTGGTGGTAGAAAGCTGACGAAATATGGGCTTTAGAAAGCCCAGAAAAGGTTTATATGAGTGACAAAAATTGAAGTGTAACAGTTTGTTCAAACAACTTTTACATCCAGACCTGGCTGAATAAACCACCACACCCTTGTAAGGAAGTCCGACTCATCCCTACATTAAGGTTACCTTACTTGGAGATAAAAGCAAACGTCTGGATGATGCAGACTAGATCAAAATACAGACTAAACAACTTGAATTTTTTACCCGCTGGATAAAAACTGAAATGGATATCTGCAGAAATAGAAAGTACCAAAATATCAGAAAACACTCGTAAATATCAGATTCTTGGATTCAGATTAGCGGAATTCCGCTAAATATCGGACTGCATAAGTTTCAGTAAAATTCAAGAACACTGCAAATTCAAAAAGCTTGACCCTCATAGGGATATTTTAACAGGTAGATTCTACTGTACATAAATGTTTCAAATTAAACATAAGGCAACACTTATATAGATAAGGATCATTTAGTGCATAAATTGAACCTGACTCTTTCCTTACCTCATTGAAGAAGTCAACAAGCTGAGGTACTGTAAGATATGTTTTTGTGGCACTACTAGCTCTGAAAACAAGAACAAAATGTTTGACAATATAAACTAATCTCCACTTTAGTTATTCTGTTTTATTTCTTTCTTTGCTTTTGTCATGGGATGTCACTCCTGACATGCATTATATCGAGGCTTTTCTGAGTTCAGCATATTTCAGATATCTACTCATATAGCTTTACTTAACATCATACAGAAAACTGGGGGTCGATACTTAGCAATGGTACAATTAACTTGAGGAGTTTGCACATAAACTGTAACTTTTTGGTTAATCACTTTATCCTCTGTCACATTTTATCAGATGTTACCATGGTAATACATATAATCTTATTATATGAAAAATTGTTTGAACTAGACATCTTTGAGTTGGTGACCATCTTAAATGGCCTCATTTTTAGCAAAGGACATTCAGATGAAAGATCCTTTATCCAAGGGCACTCTTTGTGTGAAGTTTGAGCCCAACTAGGGCAAGGGGAGAGATAATATGCTCCAGGTTTTTTCAACCTAGACCTTTTTGATCTAGATCACTGCATACCCTTTACCCACAAAATATCTATGGGTGAAGTTTGAGCCTGACTGGGCCAAGGGGAGAGATGACATGGTCTGAATAAATGAAATCAGACAGACACACTGACAGACAGACTGATCACTATAACGTACTCGCTGAGCTAGAACCTTTGCTCACTTGAATCACCTTGGCCTTGCTGGTCTACAAAACATTGCCCCTAACCTAGCCCCTGGGGCTATAATTTGAACAAACTTCCATCTACATTTCCTGAGAATGCTTGCATAATACAACTCGTCACGACCATGTTTTTATTACTGGAAGATTTTTATTACTTTGATTTTCTTTTGAGGCCTCATATTATCTCCAGAGGTAAGAAACATAAAACAACAAGACCTGACAATGTTTGAATATAAATATATTAATCATAGCCCTACTTTTCAAGGCAGGTGTATTTTGTAAGATATTACCTATATATTCCCATGTAAAACTTTGATACCCAAATGTGGCTCCACCCTACCCCAGGAGGCCATGATCTTGAACAAACTTGAATGTACAACCCTGAGGATCTTCCATATAAATATGACTATAATCATGCCTTTGCAGTTCTTACGAAGAAGATTTTTAAAGATTTTCTCCAATATATACTCCTATGTAAAACTTTGAACACCTATTATGTCCCCCTTTACCCCAGGGGTCATGATTTGAACAAATGATTTGAATTTACACTATGTAATGAAGCTTTAACATAAGTTTCATCTTTTCTGGCCCATTGGTTCATGAAAATAAGTCTTTCAAGATGTCATTAAATTTTCACTTATTCTTAATATCTCTCCTTGAAAGATGGCATGGTCCTTCATTTGAATAATTTGGCAAATTTGGTTGAGATTGGCTGAGTGGTTCTGTCAAAGAAGTAAACAAGAGGCCCATGGGCTGCAACGCTCACCTGAGTAATTTTGGCCTTGCTGTTTTTCACCTGATTTCTCCCCCCCCCCCTTTGTAGTACTTATTGTGGCCCCGCCCTACCCCCAGGGTCATGATTTAAACATTTAGAATCTACACTACCCCAGGATGCTTCCACATAAGTATAAGCTTTTCTGGCCCAGTGGTTCTTGAGAAGAAGATTTTTAAAGATTTTTTCTGCATATTACAATGTAAAACTTGAATACCTAATTGTGGCCCCGCCCTACCCCCAGGGGTCATGATTTGGATAATTTAAAATCTGCACTATCCCAGAATGCTGCCGCATCAGTTTCAGCTTTTCTGGCCCAGTTGTTCTTGAGAAGAAGATTTTAAAGATTTTTTCTGCATATTTCAATGTAAAACTTGAATACCTTATTGTGGCCCCGCCCTACCCCCCGGGGTCATGATTTGGACAATTTAGAATCTGCACTATCCCAGAATGCTGCCGCATCAGTTTCAGTTTTTCTGGCCCAGTGGTTCTTGAGAAGAAAAATTTTAAAGATTTTTACTATACATTTCAATGTAAAACTTGGATTCCCTATTGTGGCCCAGCCCTACCCCCGGGGGTCATGCTTTGGACAATTTAGAATCTGCACTACCCCAGAATTCTTCCACATTAGTTTCTGCTTTTGTGGCCCAGTGGTTCTTGAGAAGAAGATTTTTAAATATTTTTACTATATATTTCAATGTAAAACTTGGATTCCCTATTGTTGCCCTGCCCTACCCCCAGGGGTCAGATTTGAATAATTTAGAATTTACACTACCCCAGGATGCTACCACATAAATTTCAGCTTTTCTGGCCCAGTGGTTCTTGAGAAGAAGATTTTTTAATGACCCCACCCAATTTTGGTATTTTCTTGATTATCTCCCCTTTGAAGGAAACTTGGCCCTTCATTTTAACAATTTAAACTTCCCTTCACCCAAGGATGCTTTGTACCAAGTTTAGTTAAAATTGGCCCAGTGGTTCTTGAGAAGAAGTTGAAAATGTGAAAAGTTTACAGATGGACGGACAGCTAAACAGACGTAGGAGAAACTGTGATCAGAAAGCCTCACTTGAGCTTTAGGCTCAGGTGAGCTAAAAAATGCTAGAATAAAATGTTATTCATAGAATTTTTCAGATCATCAATGACAGTTTCTTAACTATTAAAAGATTATAAAAATTCACAGAATAATACTTACATTTCACGAAATAAATCCTCTATGTCTGTTCTAGGGCAAATCTTGTGATATAGTTCATAGAATTTGTCAAAAGTAAATAGTTTCGGATCAATCTCATCATTCTGAAAATGAAACAAAACTTTTATTTTGATAATTCAACAAATGTGTTTAAAAGACACAAATGCCCCAAGAATGGGTATCAGTCATGATCAACAGTTAGAGAGATAATAAACTAAAGGAGTTTTAACAAAATAAATAACAAAACAAAAGGCTTGTAGGCCACAGTGCTCATCCAAGTAAACTAGGCCCTGCATTTCTTAGAAATATTTTTATTAATGATTTGTTCCCTCTTTATTTCCATAGAAAATTTGACCCAGTATTATGGCCCCATTCTAGCCTTAAGGGCCATGATTTAGTTGAATGTGAATGCACAGAACATGAGGATGTTATATCAAAATTGACTAATATAAATTTGATGTTCTAGACTTTTTTTTGATATTTTTTCCCGTAAACAAGCATGAACAAGATGCTCAAGGACCTAGAATCGCTCTGCTGCTAAATTGCACAACAGCGTCACTGTGACCTACTTTGATCTGGCAACTCTTTCTGACTCAAAGGCACCAAGACGCATCACTTTACAAGGTTTGATGATTCTAATACTATAAGTATGTGAAATATTTAGCTAAAATGTTTTAACAAGAGGCCCATAGGCCACAATGCTCACCTGAGTCACTATGGTCCTGCTGTTCTTCATTAGCAGATTTTTTCCAATAAATTCCTATGTAAAAATTTAGATCTCCCATTGTAGCCCATTCTACCCTCAGGTGCCATAATTTTAACAAACCTGAATCTTCAATGCCTGAATATGCTTCCATATTAACATGTCCAATCATGGCTTTGCTGTTCTAGAGAAGAAGATTTTAAACAATTGTTTCCTATATATTCCTACATAAAACTTTGATCACCAATTGTGGGCCCACCCTAAACCTGCAGTCATGATTTCAACAAACTTGAAACTACACTATGTAATGAAGCTTTCATTAACCCTAGTAGCGCTATATAAAATACACAGTGTTAGTGCTCTGAGCTGAATATTTTTGCCTGCGTTGGGGTGCATTTGTTTAAGCAATTTAATTCAGATTTTATTGAAAAAACATAGACATATTATACATCAAAATGTTCAGCAGAGATAGGACTTCAATATTTTGATAGCCAGATTTCATTCTTTGTGTAAACAAATAGGTAATTTACAGGTAAAGCTAATATATTATAAATAACACAACTTTTTCTTCATGGGACTAAACTTTTATTCATATTTATTCACTAAGATGCTTACTGACAGTAATACAGATAATTTTTAATAAAGGGACATAGATTTGGTACAACTTTTCAACGTTTGTGTAGTCACATCATAAGAAATACCCTCGTCAAAAGTTGGTGTCCGCCATTGTTGATTTTACCTTGATGTGGAATCTCGATATTTGCCGTATTTCTCTCTTAATCTGGCATCTTTAAACTATTGTTTTCATAAGTCATGATATGATTGTCTTTATTTCTGTTGAGTTTATATGAAATAAAATACTTAGGATCGTTTTTAACTCGGACATATCGAAGTCTACACCCGTGCATCCAAACTTGGCATGGGCTGATCGCCGTCTAGCAAATTTCACATTTAAGACAAGTTTTGCATAATCTTCTTCTTAGAAATGTCGAAAACATCTTGTAGTAAATATCTATCAAGTTTTTTACCACGATTTTAGTCTCTAAACAAGTTTACTAGCACATTGAAAAATGATTTCTTGAATATGCTGCCATTTTTATTCAAGCGGAATAAACATGACCTTTTCACCTGTCTAAATTTACACAACCAATCACATTTCATCTAAGTAATGAAATTTTTTATTCATTCAAACCTATTACCAAATAAGGAAAGTGCTTTTATTAGCCAAAATTTCCATTGGCCGCCTAAAATAGCGGTTTAAAAAAATTGTTGCTGTCACTCAGAATGTAGAATTTCGGGCTTTACGGACCGTGGATATCGGCCTGGATAGTGTAGTGGTAAGAGCACCTGACTAGTAATGCAGGGGTCCCGGGTTTGATTCCTGGTCCATTTCTCCCTTCCTACTACATTTGGTGGCCAGTGTGGGGGGCCATGTTCAGGTTACGTTATGTGTAAATTAGTAATTCCTGGCAGGGCCCTAGAACTTGTGTCTTCGAGGTCGAAGACTGTTTAAAGAGGGAGAAATGTAGAAGTTCGGGCTTTACGGATCGTGGATATCGGCCTGGATAGCTCAATGGTTTGAGCACCTAACTAGTAATGCAGGGGTCCCGGGGTCGATTCCCGGTCCAGCCATATGTTCTCTTCATGCATTTCTCCCTTCCTACTACGTTTGGTAGCCGGGGGGGGGGGGGGGAGGGGGGCATGTTCAGGTTACATTATGTGTAAATTAGTAATTCCTGGCAGGGGCCGTGGATATCGGCCTGGGTAGCTCAGTCGGTAGAGCACCTGACTAGTGATGCAGGGGTCCCGGGTTCGATTCCTGGTCCAGCCATACATTTTCTCCTTTCCTGTTACAGGAATATTCTGGGGTCAGCACTACTAGGGTTAAAGTATCAAAACATTGGACAATGAATAATAACATTGGAATAATAACATCAAAACATTGGACAATGAATAAAATGCAGAAAGTAGGTCATACTGACTTCCTTTTTGGGTCAAAATATCTTAAGGTAAAAAAAAAAAAAATATATATTATATAATATCAAAGTCATTATTTTTACAACTTTGTATAAAATTTTGAACACAAACAGCTCGGCTTTAAGAACTTTTTAAATAATTTCACAGGGCCATACCCTGGAAGGAAAGTCCACATAGTGAATTAACTTTTGCATTTTTTTTTAATTTCAGGAGTACCGTTTCTTTCTGCACAAGAAATATATAAAGGGCCCCTCATCCAAGCATACCCTGGATGTGATGGATGAGGGACATTCTTGGAGTACAGCCTGAGGCTAAAGAGTATCAACTTTCCCACCCATGTGAGAATGCATGGATTAGTACATCAATTAATTATACCCCCTCTTTTTTATTTTATGCATTGACAATAAATTTGCTTTAGATTATGAGTGATTGAAGCATGGCGGTCAGTATTTATACTGGTGAGGTCACATGGGTTTTAATTTCTTTGAATTGCGAGCCCGCATGTTATTGGTCAAGAAATATATGCTATTGATACTCTGAAAGCCGAGGGCTGTATGAAAAGAATGGACCATCTAGGTGTATGTGGAAAACAATGTCACCTGACTTTAAGCACCACAGATACCCTTTACAAGATGACTGTTTATACTTTAACTGACCTTAAGTGTGTGACCTTTCCATTTCACAATTTGTGAGCTTACCAAGACTACACACCAAAGATAAGATGTCAGTAAATATTAAGGATCATATACCTACACATCAACAAGATCAAGAAGAAATCAGAAAATGACATCATTTTTCACACTACAGGTGAGACTTCCAAGATTTCTTAAGTGAAAGCATCAATTTGTTTACAAGGTTGTCAATAAAGTGTATCTCTTCTTTTCTGAAAAACTTCAATTAAGATGCCAAACAATTCTTCACAAGCTTATCAAAGGCTGAAAGGATTTAAGAAGATGCTGGAACAAGATAAAAAGTTTAGAGATAACTATAGAGATTTCATGAAGAACCTTTTGTAAAGAACTATATGCTGAAACAGTTCTAAAAGACAAATTTGACAGAAATGATGGATGTATATTCCTCTTCATAGTGTGTATCATCATTAGAAATCTGAAAAGATATGTGTAGTGTTTGACTGTTAGCAACATTTATGGGTTCATGTGAACACAAGGGAACTCCCAGATCTGACAAACAGTTTGTTAAAGATACTATTTCAGTTTCGTCAGGAGAACACTGCTCTACAGGGAGACATTGAGACTGTTCTGTCAGGTGCTTGTTCCAGAGAATGACAGAGACTGTCTCCATTTTCTCTGGTGTGAAAATGGAAAACTCTGAGATTCATTCTGAAAATGGTTATCATGCATCCAAGGAACCCTCTTTATGATGATGATGATGATGAGCCATTTGCCTACATCAGTGTGTCCAGATCTAAAGGTATCTACCATGTGACAGAGGAAATTCTGGTGAACTATTAAAGGGTATTATAAAAAGATGCCATTCAACTGTAACATAGAGTTGTTCATATTATCAATTGGCAGTAAGAATACTTGGTTGTAGCCTTGTAGTATGCTTGAAAGTGGGGTGGGGGTGGAGGGGGGTTAAATGGTCAATATTTTTCTTATGTCCAGTTTGACCCTTGACACTAAGACCTCAAAATCAATAATTTACTCCATAAGGAGATAAATGTACCATGTTTGATGTCTGTCAAGCAAATGTTTCTCAAGATATTGAACGGACAAGATTTTCTATATCTAGAGTAAATTGACCCTTGACTGTAAAATCAATAGGGGTTATGTATTCCTCAGGGGGTACCTATGTACTTTTTAATTTTTTTCACAAAAATGGCTAGTTAATAGTTTGATGGGAAAAAAAATATTAAAGCTTTATTATTTTGCCCAATTTAAAGTTCTTAACTTCTTTGGTTCATAAGTTATTAGGAAGTAGGGGTGCAACGATACACTAACCTCACAATACCATACGTATCACGGTATTCGGTTCACGATACGATACGTATCACAATACATGACAAGGTTAAAAAGTCTTTCAAGTTTGTCATCATATTTTTTTTTAAACTTGACAGTGTTATACAAAATGTTCACATTTTTTAATATTAACTAAAATAACATTTTGTTAACTTGAATTGGATTGTTAGGTAGATCTTTGAGTTGTGACAACATTCTAAACCAATGATGAACATTTACAGGGAACTACGGGGACCTTTCCTAATAATCTTCCTTTTAAATTGGAATGAAAAAGGAAGACATTCATTCTTTTATTCCTTTTATTTACGTAGAAAACCAATTGTCATATTTTAATACGTTTTAGTCAACAAGACAGTGAATTTTCATCGAAATACACACGTGATGGAATATCGTGTATTACCAAAGAATACGTTTAGATCTAACGGGTTTATCATTTCTCTTAACATCTATAACTTATAATCACATTAAATTCTTCTCCGTGTTAAATCTGAGGTCTGTAAGATTCTGGAGATGAGCTTAACTGCCGTAAATGCGTTATCGGCGACCTCACGTTTTGCGCGGAAGCTATTTTGAAATAGGAAAGAAGGAAATAAAACGGATAATTCTGGACTGATTGAACCGAACCGCGATATCAGTTTAGCGTATCGTGAATTGAACCGTGGAAAAATATACCGCGATATACCGTCAAACGGTTTATCGTTGCACCCTTATTAGAAAGATTAAAGTTTGTTGACAGAATGACAGACTTAGACAGGATGAAAATAATATGATCCCATGATAATCAAGAGATCTTTACAGAATGACTTTTAAGAACAAGCTTCTTGCTTGTTTTAATTAACATACTCATATAAATTCCAATCATATTTAAGAGTATTTTTTATCTGCATTTACCATACATCACTCTCTACTGATTGTTCAGAATGTTTCATTAACACACTAACAGATTGATTTATTTTTGTAAGACTTATATTATTAAATTATTTCACTTTTCAGTCAACAAATCAAATACACTAGATGAAATCCCGCGCAAGCGCGGGGAATTGAATTTATACCACTAACGACAGAAAATATATAATTATAGTTTCTACTGACAGCCTACAGGTTTATAACAGAAAGAAATACTTTGTTCAATGATGAATGTCTCCTACCCCCCCCCCCCCCCCCCCCCCCCCCGCCCCTTTCTGTAAAAACTTGAAAAATAACAATTTCGTTAATTGGCGTTTATTGTGAAATCTGTTATACCATGTTATGGATATTGTACTTCAGATGCTCTTATTTCATTTCCGTCAAGGATAAAAGCAGCGAATATGCACATTTTACTGATAAATTGCATGATCTTTTTTTTTGGGGGGGGGGGGGGGGGAGGAGGAGGGGGGATTCACAAATACTTGGGTCTTGGTTTATAAATATGTATGTACCTTATTAATACGTAAAAAATGTCGTTTACTTCTGTGTAAATATTAGTTTTTAACGCCTTATAAATAGGCCGAGTATTTGATACAAAAGACTGTATTCAGAAAAAGAAAACTGAAATGTATTGATTGAAGCACAACATTTTACACAGCTTTAATTGTATTTGAACAATACCTTATTCATTAATTTTCTCTTTTTATGTTAGCAAGTTTATTACGAAGTACAAATTGTACTTCGGGTTCGTTGCCACGATGCTCTCAGTAAGGAATACATGTACATGTATATACAAATTTTATCGATAAATTTATTAGAAAAACCTACTACATACATGAAATAGTCTTTCGATATATTTAAGAAATAAACAACAATGTTAAAAAGTTCTCTGGGAAATGAACTTGGTTGGTCACGTGATCAAATCCTGTGAAGCCCGAAGGGCTTCTCAGAAGATTTGATCACGTACCAACCAAGTTCATTTCCCAGTGAACTTTTTAACATTGTTGTTTATTACTTTTATTTACATTTGAGACGAATATTCTGAATAGAACTGCATTTATTACACGAACGGCCCGCCGTATTGCTATGTTGTGACGCGCAATGACCTAGAAGTTGTTTGGTCTTGAGAGTTCGCCTCGCTCCAACATTTGAATACTTACATTGATGTTTAGCAGTCCAGTTCAGGAAATATCTGTTCATAATGAAAAAACAATGATCGCTACTGGGAGTTATCTTACTATTATTGTACGAGTTCTTTATATATAAAGTCAAAAGCGGTGCTATCGTCTTCAGTTTACATACCTTCAAAGGAATTTCGGGTTAAAAAGGTAAGCGTGATTTTAGGCTAATTAGAAACATTCTTCACACCGAAGAAAGATGTAACGATCATTTGTTGAACGAAAAAAAAATATATGTTTCAATAATTTTATCTTTTTCATCGCTTTGACGGTTCAGAAGTTCCGAAACCAGTGTCACTGTGACAGAAATATGTAGACAAGATATCGTCTTGCTGTGTGATTGGTCACGCCATGACCTCTGACCCCCTAATAAGTTCATACAGAATTGAACATATTTTCTCTTCTATAGGTTCATCTAAGAAAAATATTTGCAAATGTAAATAAATAAATATATTCAAAACTTATAGTGTTCTCAATGATTTACCATTATTTCAATGACCATTCATACAAAAGCTTTTTTTTTTAAATGATCGCCTCGTTTTTCCATTTAACATCGGGCTCGATGCTATGTGATGTTCTAGAAGCTTCTGTCAATATTAAGATCGGTGAATGACGAAAATAATTTGCAAATTTCCCTCTTTAGTCAGTTATCACAACTTATTTCTTTTATATCATTTAAATCAAGTTTTGATTGAATAATTCAGTGATAACGTTTAATAAAATAAATAAATGATTGCTTGTTGTCAGTTTCATTAAAAATTGCTAGTATCTTAGATCCGCCAACCGGAAACGCCACCGTACTCACGTTTTTGCTATTTCATGGCTGTTTATAGAAAATAAAAGTAGACTTTTAATTTAATGTACGATACTGACTATGCGAGTGAAATCTAAATATAGTTTACGGACATCATCTTGTATACAGTGTATTCTTAGAGGAGTAAGTAAGAACTCTGGTGCAGCCGTTTCGGAGTTTATTTGCAAAATTTATTAATTTATAAGTATAGATATAAGATTATATATCTACTTTGTGTTTTAAGTTAACAAATGATTTTATATGTCTAACCTTTCCTCCGGGGAGACCCAGGTCCATCAAACACTGCATGATCATCTTTTCTGTCTTTCCAGAGGCAAATGTTCTGGTGATACTGCAAACAGCATTTTGGTACAGTTAAAGGACACACAACACTGGTATCGATATTTGCCATATTGGGCAAAAATATTACAGTCTGTACTTCATCATAAAACAAGAGGCCCATGAGCCACATCTGAGTAACCTTCACCCTGCTGATTTCCACAAGTTTTTTTTCCTCATTATTACCATAAAACATGTTGATCCTCATGGGCCCAGGTCTTGGCTCAAGGGGTCATGACTTAAAACTCTTTACTCTCTAATCTCGCATACATGCATGATAACAAACAGCAGCAAAAAGCAACAAACTCAATATCCTTTTTTAATTAACATGCTCAAGTAGAGATTCTGTGAAAATCTTTCATTTAATTGGTGTTAAACAAAGCCCAATTAGTCAATACTACCAGGATCCTTGGCTTTCTCTGGTAAAAAAAAAAACTATCAGAAAATGTCCATTGTTCTCTATACCATTGTCTTTTATGTATTTCTTTTAGTCAAATGAAATGTTTTTGTTGCTTAAAACTATAAAATATTCATAAATAGTATAATATGTATCCCAATTGACACAATAACAATATCAACAATCTTGTTTAAAGTTTAGCATTTTGCAAGTTCTATGGTCCTTACAATGACCTTGTTGGCAAAGACAGTCTATCATTGAGTCGAATGCTGAATGACGTTTTTCATACTAATTGTTAGACCATTATGTTTTGTTTTTCACAATATTATGCAATATCCATTCCTCATTTAAAAAATTAAAAGAAAATTTGGAGTAGCCTCTTTTGTAGTGAAAAGGGGGCATATCAAAACATAAAAATAGGACTTAAAATTATACACAAGATACTTTGTAAGTTGCAGTAGGTTCATATAATATCAACAAATTATTGTTGTGTTGTATACGTTTCTCAAAATTAAATACCCCTTACATTATGAAAAATTTTTCTCTCCATTCTTAATATTTTATTTAACACAAAACATTGTTTTACGTGGAAACAGAAGGGGGGGGGGGGGGGGGGGGATAAAATTAAAAAGTTTTTTAATATGTAGGAAACTAAAATATTTCTTCTTGGTTACATTTAACTGACTCATATAGGATTTCTTGTTAAAAGTCAATCTACTGCATGCATATTTAAGTTATCAACAAAATTGGTAAATAAATATTTTCAAGGAGAAAGACTACATGTGTTTACCTTTGGTTGCAGTAGTTTTTTCAAACTCAAAAATTAAAATAACATAAGATAAAACTTATAATTTACTTACAAATTGAAAATATCTCAAAAATAATTTATGCTACAAGTTACTTATTAATTAAAACATTTATTTATTTATTAAAACACAAGAATTGACAGAAATGCCAGGATTAGAGAGCTTTAAACATGCACAGTCAAGACCTACCAGGTATGCAAGAATAGTGAAATATTTTAGCGCGATTTGACGTTTTTACTATGACGTTATTGTATTCAATTGTGACAGCAATCAAGGGGACTATGACACATCTGAAACAACTTTGCTTGAAAGCATATGTGTTCACACCAAGTAGGCTGAGCCTCGTTTAAGTCATTTAAATTCAAACAAATTTTAATTTAGGATTGAATGTAAAACTCCTTTTTTTTAAATAATGTTAAGTTAAAAATCAAAACATTTTTTATCTAAAATAATATATTTTTCCATCCAAATGAACATTTTTTTTTTATTCTTTAGCTAATAATATTTATCTGAAGGTTTATTTACATGATTTAATCCTTCACTCCTTATATATGTACTATTCTGACACTAATTTGGAGAGACTATAAGAGTAACGAGTGAAACTTTAATTGTGAAACAATTATCAAAAGCACCCCTTCAATTTACTAAGCATCAATTCTCTGCAGCCCAATATTGCCTTTGGCAGTTTTGTCTTGTCTACCTAAACTATGCATGCACTGAAGCAATGCAAAATTCCTTTTGCACTCACACTGACTGAATTTACAGACTTTCTGAATACATGTAAACAAAGATGCATGGATGAGTAAGGAAAAAGACAGGACCTATTTTTACATCAGTTAATAGGATAACAAAATATTTTGCCACCTTGAATGTATTTATTGTACAATTAATAAAAAATACCTAAAATTTTTAGTTGTTTTTCCTGTATTTTTATTTTTAGCAATTACTTGAATACTTGAAAATTTAGAAACATTACAATATATAATAATTTTGACTCAAATTCGCAAAAATGAATTTACACAAAAATTTCTAGATTTATTGTACATGTATATTTTAAGTGAGTGACATTATTGATAACTTTAGAAACATGCAATCAATACAATGATAAGTAGTTGTTTAATATTCTTGTTAATTTTAGATTAAATGAAGAAAATATTTATTAATATATCCTTTATTTTCCTTTGTTTAACTTTGATTCCCTGTTGTGGCCCCTCTCTACTCCTGGGGTCATGATTTGAACAAATTTGAAGCTACATTTTCCGAGAATGCTTCTGTGGTATAAATATGACTGATTATGGCTTAGCTGTTCTTGAGAAGATTTTTAAAGATTTTCCCTATGTATTCCTTTGTAAAACTTTGATCCCCCATTGTGGGCCCACCCTACCCCCTGGGGTCATGAATTGAACAAACTTGAATATACATAAATAAAAATATGAATAATCATGGTTTTGTTATTCTTGTGAAATTTTTGTTTAAAGTGTATTCCTATGTAAAACTTTGATCGCCCATTGCCTTCAGCTCAGGTGAGCTAACAAAGATGGCTTTGTGGCCAATAAAGTTTCTAGGGTAAACTGATCGCAAGTTGAACGCCTATTCATATTCACCGACAATATTGACAACAAGGGACATTATGCGTGTCATGAACCCAGAGATGTATGGAAATGTGTACCCAAAGCCTCATTTTAGAGTGTTGTTTACTGTGGCAACAGAATGAAACAATTGTTATTAAAGGAAAAAGCCTGAGATACTAAATAGATCGCAAGTCGAACACATTCGACCACAAGTCGAACAGCTAGATATGAAGTCGAACGCCATTTATTCTGAGTCGCACAAATTACATAATTGTTGATAGGAACTGCTTTTCATGACATTAACATATTTAATAGACAAACTTCTGAAGATATTGTTTGTTTTTTTTCAAATCACTCTCGTCTTTCTCTTTTAGAGATAGATTTTGATTCATACCGAACATTCTTAAGATTTTCATTAGAACATCTTAATATCAAGGAAGATTGTTAAACGTTGTTGGTAATATTGGAAACAATTATAAATTGAAAGAGGAAAATAATGTAGTACTTAGTCAACATCATCAATCTGTAAAATTTTTCATTCATCCTCCACCTTTTCTGTTGGTTTTATTTCTCTCTCTATTCTTTTTTTCCATATTTTTATGTTTTCTCTCTCTCTTTTTTTTTTTTTATCCTCCCTTGATCATGTTTGAAAGCCTAATTTGAAGTTTCCCCAAAAAGAGAAAAAAACCCTCTGCTTTTTGTTTCCTTTCTGTTTTGACATCGATAACTGTTTGCTATCTTCACCTTTTAGTCTTGGAAGTCTTTTCTAATGTAACATTTCGAATGCTTTTAAAAAGTATTCGTTTCAGACGAATTTAAGTGGTCAAGACTTAATTTTTTTCTTTGAACATCCACAACTTTCTTTGGTAAGAATGATTTTATATTTTAGATCGATTACATTATTCAATGCAAAATAATTAAAATCTTACAATCTTGCCATGAAACAAATTCAATTGGACATATTTTTGTTTAAATAAGAAGACATAAAATGATCTACAATACTGCATAGAAGTTAAATGTTAAATATTTATTTCTTCAGAAAAAAAATTAAATCGTTCATACAGATTTTAAGATCATTCAAAATAAAGTATCTCTTAGCTTTTGTTTTTCTTTAAATCAAAAGTTAATCCTCTGTTACAGCCCAGATTTTCTTGAGATCTCAACAGATCTCTTTTTTCTGGAACTGGCGAAAACAAACTTGTAGCATCGTTGTTTTTATTTAGGAGGGTAGGGCAGCTGGAAAAAGAATCAAGACAACAGGCGCCAATCCAGGATTTTTTTTCCGGGGGGGGGTCCATCCCAATCAAAAAAAAATTCTTACCCAAAAATTTCTTGACCAAAAAAAACAAACAAAACAAAACAAAAACAAAAAACTAAATTCCCATCCCAAACTATGCAAATGTAATAAACCAAGAAAATTTAAAAAAAAAAAAAAAAAAAAACATGAAAAATACCTATTCCGTGGAGGTGATGGTGGGGTCCACGTTTTCTGGGGGGAGGGGGGGGGGGTCCAAAAATATTTTTTATTTGCTTCAGTATATACTTTTTATAACTCTGTGAAATTCGGAAGGGTTCTGACCCCCCCTCCCTGACCCCCCTCTAGATTCGTGCATGGACAACTTACCTGAAACAGGGTGGATTTCAAAATAATCTACAGACAATACAAATCTGTGAACAGGATAAAAAACACTAAACTCCGGAAATTCCAGAGGTGGGATCAGATGCCTGGGAGGAGTAAGCACCCCCAGTTGACCAGTCACACCCGCAATGAGCCAGCAAAACAAAAAAGTATTTTTTTCAGGGGGGGGGGGGTTCCACCCCCAATAAAAAAAATTTCCAGCCCATAAATTTCCTGACAAGAAAAAAAAAGGGAAAGGGTAAAATCTATTTCCTAAATGTGAAAAAAAATCCTTTTTCGTGGTGGTGATGGTGAAGTCAATATTTTCCAGGGAAGGGGGGGGGGGGGGGTCCAAAGTCATTTTTTATATGCTTTAGTATTTACTTTAAATAGCTCTGCAAATTCCAGGGGGGTCCAGACCCACGATCCCCCCTCTAGATCCGCGCATGGGGGGTATCCAACTTTTTTTTCAGGCGCAGACCCAGGTTTTTTTTCAGAGAAAGGGGCGGGGGAGGGGGTACTACAGTAAAAAAAAAAATCCAACTCGGAAATTTGTTGATAAAAAGAAAAACAAGAGGCCCATGGGCCACATTGCTCACCTGAGCACATTGGCAAGGCAAAAGCACAAATCAGTTCAGTATTGAAAAGATTAAGGGGGGGGGGGGGGGCTTGAATTTTAAACTTCCTGATGATGCTTCCATGTCAATATAACAAATGGCTTTGTTGTAAGATATTTTCCTATATGTTCCTATGTAAAATTTTCGATCCCCCATTGTGCCTCATCCCTATCCCCAGGCGGTCATGATTTGAACAAACTTGAATCTACACTACCTGAGGATACGTCCACATAAATATGATCAATCAGGGCTTTGCTGTTCCTGAGAAGAAGATTTTTAAAGATTTTTCCTATATATTTCTACGTAAAACTTTGATCCTCCATTGTGGCCCCGCCCTACCCCTGGGGGGTCAAGACTTAAATAAATTTGAATCTACACTACCTGAGGATGCTTTCATATAAATATGACCAATTTGGGCTTTGCTGTTCTTGAGAAGAAGATTTTTAAAGATTTTTCCTATATACAGTAAAACTTGTCTAATCTGGCGACCAGTGGTTCCAAAATTTTTAGCCGGATTAGGCAACATCCGGATTGGAGAAAATTGAACCGTTATAGCAAGTTAAAAATTACATAGATATAAACAAAGAGTGGTAAATAAATACTTGATCAAATGTGTCATTTTTTACGTTTCACTTGAAAAAATCGTCTTTTTCCGTTTGTTTTGAACTCTGTTCTTCAGAATTTTCATTTCTGTTTAAGTTTTTTATTCAGTATCGAAATATAACATCTCTTGGTCATTTATCAAATTTGAAAATCGTTAAATGTTTTAAATACACTCAAAAACCTTATCGTAGCTGTAAATATTATTTTGTTAGGGACAGATTCCTAATTAATTTCTTTCTTTTAAAATTAATATGTTTGAATATTTAGACACTGTATTTGTTAATTTCAAATGTTATACATGTAATGAATATTGAACCAAAATCTTCTGTCACTTTGGTCGTTGTAAACTAGCGACACAAAGGGAAGTAATTCGAATTGCACGTCGTGCACGCAAAACGAAAGTAGAAAGGAGGTCATGAATAAGTCTCCAAGTTTTTCTACAGACATGCTACACGCAACCATAAATATCACGCATTCTTTTGCGAGTTTCCTCGCCTTACTTGAGCCATTAATTCTTTTTATCACGTTTGTTAAAATCTAAACTATCGATACAGGATAGATCATTAACGGGACAATAATTACCCCACGCGAGACTAATCTCTAATGACCAGCAGGCACAGGTAAAAATAAGTGGCCGGATTAGAGGAGATAATTTGTACTAATTATGAGCAGTAAGTTCTTTAAATAGCGGCCGGCTTACAGAATAGGCAAGATCCGGACTGCACAACATTTATTAAACATAAATTATAAAGAAAATTCAAGGGACTAAAATATTACGCCGGACTGAACAACATGCCGGAATGCACAACATCCGGATTCAACAAGTTTTACTGTATTTCTATGTAAAACTTTGATCCTCTATTGTTGCCCCGCCCTACCCCCGTGGGTCATGATTTGAACAAACTTGAGTCTACACTACCTCAGGATGCTTCCATATAAATATGACCAATCATGCCTTTGCTGTTCTTGAGAAGAAGATTTTTAAAGGTTTTTCCTATATATTTCTATGTAAAACTTTGATCCTCCACTGTGGCCCCGCCCTACCCCCGGGGGTCATGATTTGAACAAATTTGAATCTACACTACCTGAGGATGCTTCCATATAAATATGACCAATCATGCCTTTGCTGTTCTTGAGAAGAAGATTTTTAAAGGTTTTTCCTATATATTTCTATGTAAAACTTTGATCCTCCACTGTGGCCCCGCCCTAGCCCCGAGGGTCATGATTTGAACAAAATTGAATCTACACTACCTGAGGATGCTTCCATATGAGTTTCATTTTCTCTAGCTTTGTGGTTCTTGAGAAGAAGATTTTTAAAAGATGCTATTAATTTTTCTCTAATTCTTTATTATCTCCCCTTGAAAGAGGGCGTGGCCCTTCATTTGAACAAACTTGAATCCCCTTCACCCAAGGATACTTTGTGGCAAGTTTGGTTGAAATTGGCCCAGTGGTTCTTGAGAAGAAGTCGAAAATGTGAAAAGTTTACAGACAGATGGACAGACAGACAGACGGACAGACAGACGGACAGAAGGACTACAGACAAAATGTCGTCAGAAAAGCTCACTTGAGCCTTCGGCTCAGGTGAGCTAAAAAGGAAACTCCTTTCCCCAGTGGGAGGATTTTAGCACAAAGTTTTAAAACTTGATTCTAGGCATCATTACCAAAATAAATAGCCTACATGTAATTCTAAATTTGATATTACGACTAGATGTTTAAAGTTAATATGGATTGTGTAAATTGTGTTTGAATCATGGAATAATTAAAGTATTGGTGGCAAAGGTTTTTTTAAGGGAAAAAATTTAATTCATTATGTTATATATTCATATAATAATTTTTCTTGTCTTAAAAAGCTTTTATTTTCTCTTTTATTTGCGGTATTTTATAGCTGTATCTAGTGTCGAACACTGATCAACTTGCGATCATTTTCAGTGTTCGACTCCATACCATTTTCCGATATTAATTCAATGAACTTAAGTTGATTATTTTGTGAATTATGTATCCAAAACCATGTAAAAACAGGTTTTTACAATATTGATTGGTATAAATTTGCCTTTTAAAGTATTGCTTAACTTATTTGGTAAATGTTTGGAGCTTTGAAACAACTTTGATAATTCATTTACGACAGAAAATTTCGAGAAATCACCTTCAAATTTCCTGGCATATAGAACTATTACCAGAAGAGTTCGACTTAGAAAAGATAACTCTAATTGATTAAATTTATAAAAAAGAAGACAGATAACCAAGAGTTGCCTACCATTCATTGTTTATCAAAAGGTGTAGGTGAGGTTAAAAATGTGTTCGACTTGTGGTCATGTTCGACTTTTGATCAGTTTACCCTACCCGGAAATAAAAAAGTGTGAGAATGAAAACTGTTGAAAACAATGAAGGGCATTTTGGTCTATTCATTCATCTTTCTTCCTGTCCAAAATGAGGTTTGTGTACCTGGTCAGATAAACTTTGTTTGGTTTGATGGAATTTAACCTTCAACTATGTTAGCCAAATGCCTATCACTGATTTTAAAGATTTCAACAACTCTGTAATCCGTAATCACAATAGGAATACACAAATTCAACCCAGCACAGTCCCAATACCATTGGCCAATTTTGGTCTTTGAACAACATTTTTTTCCCAAAAATATTTTGCAAAAATATAAGGTATTTTCATCTCATTTTATTCATCTATTATTAAGAACTCTACCAGGATATTAAAAACTTTTAAAGTATTTTTGTATAGTGTATGTTAAAAAGTCTTGCATAATTCTTTTATTCAATTGATGTATCAATTACATTATCTACTGTGATAATCTAACATGGGTGAATAAGTAAGGGGGATAACTTCTCCTGATGCAGAGTATAAATTTCTAATTATGATTAACAGAGCCATGCACAGCACCCCTGACACACTGGTCTGAGGAATTTCATAAATCTGGTAAAAATACCCTTGCTCATCACAAGTGCTTCCTACATACCCATGAGCTGAGGAGGTTTTCAAAGAATTAATGCATTTTCAATGTATATGATCAATAGAGACCCTACTAAACTCCAGAGCCCCTGACCCAAGGATCATAAATTTCAAGATTTAGGTACAGGCACTCCTGCTCTTCATAACTAAACACTTAGTTTGTCTGCTAAATATTCAGGAGCAGAGAAAAAGATTTTGAAAGAATGCATTTTCACTATATGATCAAGAGCCCTATCCTAACTCTTGAACCCTTGACCCAAGGGCCATGAATTTCACTATTCAAGTTGAAGCACCCCATCATAACCATGCACATAATTTTCTGCTTCAAACCCGGAAGTAGACAAGATAATCAAATCAAAGTACTGAGAGTACTGATAAGCAGTCAGAGATTTCAATGGCATTGTTTTCTTTATTCATGTTAATTGTTAAATTTCAAATCTTGGCAGTGTTCGAAGTTTCCATATAATTCAATAAAATTCAAAGGCAGTGTTCAAAGTTCTCAAATAATTGTGTTCATAGTCCTCATACAATTGTGTTCCAAATTCTCATATAAATTTGTTCAAAGTTCTCATATAACTGTATTAAAAGTTCTCATAAACTGTAAAATTTCAAAGACACTTACCAAAGTTCTCATGAATTGTTAAATATCAAAGACATTATTCAAGTGCTCATAAATAATTATTGAAAATTTTCAAAGACATAAAATCTATGCAACTAAATGTACTTATTTTACATATAGAAACATAGATGAAGTTGTTATTTTCATAATTTTTGAGAAAAAAACCTGCAAGTTTATCTAATGCCCAACAAACTTTGGAATGATCTTTTTGTACCACTGATCTTACTCATGACACACCTTTTCACAGGAATATTTCCCTTTGGATTGACCAGGAGGCAAAGCTTTAACCAGCTGAAATGAAAAAAAAAAGAAATATTCAATCTAAGGCCATACCAATTTGCAATATAGTTCGTTGGATTTGCCGCTTCTATTTGTAACAAATCCAAATTATAATATTATAAAAAAAAAAATTGTGCGCCCGCGCATCCAAAAATATCCGAGTACTTTTTACACCAAATGCACCAAAAACATCGGAACACGTGGTTGATAAATGACAGAAGCGCAGGATTGAGAAAGTTCGTACTTCGTAACTCATACTGTGTGAAGTTTTTCACGATGCCTGTCTACTCTTTTATATGTACGATACGTCCATAGTTAAAAACAATGGATGTAATTTTTTTCCTTATACTGCAATCTATTAGAAGCCAAGGAAATTTTTGAAGTGCTGTTCATTGTTTCTATAAAGAGAACATCGAAAAGTCCACGAAAGGTTTGGTGAATATTGATGATGTTTGCTCTCTCAAAATAAAAAAAAAAAAAATCTAAGAGACTTCAAGACCGGACATGTCACTAGGAATTTGCACAGAACTGCATGAACAGAACGTTTGCAGAAATGAAACTAAATTGCAATAATGTAACACGTACCTCATTCAAAACATGTCAAACAGAAAGTAGACGCGTTTTCACATTTTATGAATGCTTCCAAAAATTATTCTCTCCCTGGAAAAATTACAGACATGCGAGACCACAAAAGAATGTTTCCACTTAAGCATATTGCCGTGGCCCCTTTTTCGGACCCCTCTAACATCATCTAATTAACTCAAATCTTAATTATTTTACACCTAACCCATATTTTGTTATCTGTGTGGTACATTACCTGCGAAAACTTACATTGAAAACGGCGCTGTAGTTTTATTAAAGGTAATTAAAAATGCCCACTAGTGGGTGTTAATTCCGGAATGTTGCGCTTGTCCGAGCTGAGTTTTAATTGTGTCTCGTTAATATTCGGAGTAGGCGGGGCATTTCATCGATCGATTGATAACATGTAATACCCTGGCTTCTGGGAACTACGCAGCATGATATAATAAAAATATACACAAAAGTAAACACAAAGAACATGTTTAAACTTCTCAAGGATTAAGCCAGTTTTTTTGTTTTTGTTTTTTGAGAGAGGGGTGCGGGGGAGGATCTTGAAGATGTACATGCACTCCCTCCCTAAATCCAGATTTTTCCCAATATTTGGTAGGTTCTGGTAGATCCTTGAAGTCGTATAGTAAATAAACAAAATATAGCAGCTTACTTAAAAAACAACAGGTGAATGACAGGTTACTTTTGTTTCGAAAATATTTTTTTTTATTTTAAATAGGGTAAGTTGCGATCGCAATTTAAGAAAAGTACGTGGCGTATACGTGGGGCCCGTTTTACAAAAGAACTTACGACTAAGAGCAAAAACCTAAGTTGATTGTACAATTTTGCAAAATTCTGTTTAAAGTTGCGAGCGTAAAAATATCTTACTCCATTCCTTTTAAAGGTCATATGAAACAATGTCCAGTGCATTTTGGGTTGTATACGGAAATGAGTTCATCTGAGCTACTTTAATAAGCCTGAAATTATATTTTGAATTTTTTATGCAAGTTAGCGGCAGCAGAGTCGATCAAAATTACTTGACTACAAAAATGAACTTCAACTAGCGCGGCTTATCTCCCTTTGCTTATGACGTCAGTAAGACCCAGTCGTACATTCAGTACTAACATTTATACAACCGATCATGTGTTTTGCAGCGTAAATTTTCAGAAATATCATTATTTAGGCTAAAACGTCGCATAAATATACGATATTCAAACAAGATAGTATTTGTCTTTTAACATCCTACTGTATATTTGCAAGATATTAGTATGTTTTATCTGTGTAATTTATTGTCGTCCTTCGAGACTTCAATCGACAGAGAGAGAGATGATACTACAAAGAGAGGGGGTCCATACTCGAGTAAGTGAATATAGACACTGTCAAATAATTTACAATTGAATAAATTTCTTACATAAGAATACTGATGATTTGTTTTCTGATTAAATTTTTAAGCCATGATTAGATGATGCTATCTAGGTACTCGGTAGCACGCGCATTTATAAAGCTGAATTCGATTGACCGCGCTGTGTGTGAGAGTGAAACTAAACCTGCATATAAATGATTTCATTTATTTATGGGAAATGAAATGATTCTATTGCTTTCTCCCGTTCTCAGTCACTTTTCTCTCTTTGGTTTTCCCTGTCTCGATGACCCCCCCTCTCTCTCTCCGTATTTTTTTTTCTTACCAAAAAGTCGGTACATATACGCATAACACTGTAACTATCTTATCGGAATAATTTTAAAAAGTCAGACATTAAACGTAATTCTATCTATGTAATCCTACTTTTCTGTATGTATATATTTACAGACAGTTTATTTTAACACAGATTATTATATAGTCTGGTTTTTAAAAAAAGTTGAACTGTAAAAGTATTAATTTTGAGAATCAATTATTCAGGTTCAGTCTTGCAAATAATGGGGGCATGGATTTTTTTTAACTGATCAATTTATGCACGAAGTGTATAAGAGTATTTTCAAACTGCAATTGCTCAGCCAAACGGTAAGAGGTATCAGCACCGTAACATTACAGTGTATGTATATACATTCTCGCAATGCAGGTAAGTTTTGAGCCATTTTTTTTTTTAAATCATGCTTCTTGTGACAGCAAAATTACGGTGATGTCGTCATAAACCCCTATTTCTATATCGTTTTTACATTAGTCCTCATGTTTCAGATTGCAGAAAGCGTGCCTTCAAATACGACGACTTTTCATTGATCCATGTTTATCATGAACTTCAATATCCCCGTGTTAATTTGGGGAAAAAAAGGGGGGGTTACTCTTGAGCTACATATTTTTCCCTCTCAATATATGACACAACTTTACAGATTTTGCATCCCCATTAAATTTCTTATTGTAAGAAGCTTAAGGTCAATGTTAATTAATTACGCTGTTTTTGTTGTTAATTATACAATTTTACTGGGAATGGAAAAAAAATATATCATATACGTATCAAACAGAAGTTTTAAATTGTTTCTAAAGTATTAATTTAAAATAAGTAATCATAGTTGGAGAAGAAATATCTTAATTTCTAAGGGGTATTCATCAGGATCATCCTACGATTAAAAGCTCTTGTTTTCAGTTGCTGTGTCTAATAAACGATTAGTTCAAATAGAGTAAACTGTACTTTAGAATCAGATAGCTCATCTGAATACATAATCGCATTTATACTCACAAAAATGACTAAAATTAACTCAATAAAATACGGTAAAATTACACTAGATCTAATGCGTTATTTACATCAGTGGTTCTTTGTGACATCATAAAAACACAAAATAAAGAACGATAAGCGGGTAACAAATTTATCAAGTGGACACGTTTAGGCCTTCATTTTTCAGTTAAGCAAAGGCAAAATTTTTTTACTAAACGTGATTTGACATTCTTTCATACCAGTCTTTATGTTTAAAAAGTAAAATCCTAGTGTTAAGAATCGTTTCATATGACCTTTAAAAAGATGAAAACCATTTTCAATATTATATAAATTAAAAAGTTATAAGCAGAATTAGATTTTGGTTTTAGTCGTAAGTTCTTTTGTAAAACGGGCCCCAGGCCTACTTGTTAATGAAAAAAAAATAAAAGAAAAAACAACTTCTTCTGTATTTTCAAAAAGATTAGTGCCGTATCGAAATTTTAAAATAATATACAGTTTGTAAAACTCTCTCTCTCTCTCTCCATACTTAAGTACAGTAAATACTGGTGTACGGAATAACAAAACAAAACATTTTTTGGGGGGGATGCTGTAGTGATATTTAATCACTAAAATAATTTTATTAATTGTATGTGTGCTTGTTTGTTTTGTATTGTTATTTCTTTTTTTTTTTGGTCCAAGTAAGCTTTCCAGTGTTAAACAATCTATACGTACTTCTACCCCGTGTATCTATATTTTTACAATCAAAAACATTTTGAGGAATGATGCTATTGCTAAGATGTAGACTATGCCTTGGAAACTCATTGAGCCCCCAAGAGAACCCCTAAATCCAGGATTAAAACTAAAATATCATTACATTTTGCCCGATTTAAAATTCCATTACTCTCATTTGTCAAATATTTCTTATGAATGGTAGCATCATTATTTTTTCTGTCTTCAAATGTGGACCTAATACCTGAACAATATTAATATCCATTGGATGCCACTATTATCATCGCTTCATGGCTGTAGGAACTGGGGGGAGGTGGGTCACGGAGCCTCCCCCCTAATTTTGCCGATATATAGAACACTATAGAAAACATATCTACCATACACTTGTGCCCCCTCAAAAATTACGTCGGATACCCCCCTTTTTTTGCTTGTCAAGGAATTTTTGGTAGTTGATAATGCCCCCAACTGAAAATGTATGGCTGTGCCCCAAAAACTGAAATTGCTTCCTACGGGCATGGGTTTTACAAAAAAAAGGAATTTTATACATACCTAAAAAACTCCTTTGTATATATTGAACTCTTGAAATCAATATAAATGTATGTTTTAATATAAAGAATATTTTGTTAAAAAAAGTAAACAGAATTTACTAGAAGGGTCAGACTATTTTAGCCCTCTCCCTACATCAAGGTCAACGTAAATACATAATTGATATAAAATAAACAAAGCAAAAATGTAGGAAATGTACCAAAAAGAAGGGGTGGAGAGAAAAATAAAAAAAAAGACTAGTAAGCAAAATTACAGAGAAAAATAAGCAAATTAAAATTACAGAAAAAATACCGGTTTGGAAATATTCAAATAGAGTGAATATCAAATTGGAGAGGAAATTCTTCAAAAAGACCTTATTTAATGTAGCAAAACATTACTTGTTATGAAAATGGAGTCTTTGAAATCTGAAACTTATTTATTGAAACCAATATCAAAACAAGAGGCCCATGGGCCACATCGCTCACCTGAGTAACTTTGGCCATACTGTTCATTACCATACTTCCCCCCTTGTAATACCTATTGTGGCCCCGCCCTACCCCCAGA